ATTTATACATTTTTACTGAAAATATAAACAAATTTTGAAATTCTTATTTTCTTTAAATCCTTAACATTTCTGATTTCCTCTGGGTTTAGTAGGAATAGTGGAAACAAACTGTTGAGAGGCGAGTCAATGAGACAGCATTCTCTGTATTGATTGGTGGGAATTTATGAATTTTATTGGCAACCTAAATGTGGTAAATGTTTGAACAATCAAGACCAAAGAGCAGGGCTTCTTCAGAGCAATTCGATGGTCAGGCCACATAACAAACAATCCCATGATTGATAGCCTGGCCATGATACTCTCTGGGCCAGACAAGGGTGCACATATTTAGAAGTGTTACCACTATGGGAGAGATGAGTATAACACTAGAAAGGAGGCGAATCTGATATACGAACAGTAGCAATGGATCATTTTGACAACAGATTAGGATGTATTGAAATTCGAATTTATGCTCAAAATAAAGCTTTATTTTGGTGTATATATTTTTCTTACCCATCTAACTAGCGTTACAACACATGCGTTCTCTCAATATTTTTAAGGACGCCGTTGTATAAACATGCAAAAAAGTTACCAACTAGCAACAATTATTTTCCGCACCGAAACTGCAACTCAAGACCTCCGAATTAACTAGCCGTCAGCCATTCTACTACGCTTCAGAAGCGCTGTAAGGTTCGAATTCGGGCCGACACTTGCTGTCCAAATAATATTTCTGTCTACTAGTGTAGGTTCCCAACCATGGATAATCTGATAAAATTTAAGTGGTCCCGAGCCAGAGCTAGGCTCACCATGAGAGAAAGTAAGGCTACGTCCTGGAGAGTTAATATTTCATCACTTGCCGTGCGCTCCCTAACATAGTGTGGTGAAAGGTGCGACAGAGCGGTGGAAGACTTCGTGCGCCGTCTGTTTCAGGGTTTCTGGTAAATGGAAATCTTACCTCAGCAGAATATTTGGTTGAAGAATTTCCAGCTCTGTACACTACTCCCCTGCTTTTCTGAACACCAAAAAATAATGGAGTACTGCAAATTAGTTTTCTCGAGTCGCGTGAAGGAAGATAACAATGCTTCTTTCCTGAATCCTGAAATGAATTTTCCCGTGTCCTCGCTTGCACGAAGAATTCTGCTCCAGGACCAAACCAGATACATAATCAAATGCTTAAACACCTACCGAAAATGCTCTTATTTTCTACACCGCATTTTCAACCTGATTTGGGTTGAACATTCCATACCAAGGATTTGGCGTAAGCCATTGTTATTCCAATACCTAAGGAGGAAAGAACAGAACACCCCTCAAGTTACCGTCCCATCTCGCCCACAAGCTGGGTGTGCAAGCTTTTAGAGCGAATGGTTAACACGCGTCTGGTCTGGCTCCTGGAACAAAGGAACCTATTTACACCTTATCAATGTGGTTTCAGGAAGCACAGGTCAACCATGGATCACTTAGTCTTCCTTGCCACATAGATCTCCATTTCTTACGTGATACATCTGGTAGCACGACATAGAGAAAGCGTGTGACACCACTGGACGCATGGCATTCTTGGGGACTTAGAAGACAGCTATCTTGGTTTCTATTATATTTTCTTTCGTCAAGATCTCTTTTTTTTGGGGGGAGGGAGAGATCACCTTCTTTCGTTCGTCAAATCCGCCACTTTCCTTGGCCTGACAAGCGACCAGAGTTTAACATGGCGCGGTAACGAGAATATGCGGACAGGGCAAGCATACGGAAATGTGAGGATTGACGTGAGTGGCGGAGAGATGGACAAAGCCAAAGACGTATACGAGATATCGGACTTGTCCAACTCCAAACACGCCGGGAATCGAACTGTGGCCGCGGAACCAAAACTATTCATTGCGGTTCTTTGTGGCGCCGCGCCAGCAATTCAACCACACTAACTTTCCGGCGACCGCGGACCTAGCTTCTTTTGTCTGCTAATAAATATGTTCGTACTACGTGCCATGCCATTTCAACACCAGGTACGCCCCTTTGAATTTCCTTAGCCTAGCAACCCTTATAAATAAACCCGTCCTGATTCGAGCTCATCTCAACTTTGTGTGGGATTGGGTCCGTGGAGCTCTTTGGGCAAATTGCGATCCTTGCCTCGATCGCAAGGGAGTCGCCACAGGTTTGGCCGTCGAAGATAGCGGTCACCGGGACAGCGGTTCCCGTGACTTTCTGACGAGAGTCGGTGGCAACGTTTGGTCCCGAACCTCGCCACGGTCACGAAGCGTACCGGACCTCAAGAAAATGAAATGTATGAAACATTTGGTTCCACGGATATGAGAAGTGCCAACGAATTTTGGACCTGTGCTATAGAGATGTCCAAACTAAGGTCACAGCGTTTGGCCAGAAAGTGTTGGGTGACAATTTTAGCTGTGAGCGTAAGCGATTCCTAGATAAGTACTAAATTATGCGATGTCCGAAGTGCGTGTGATTTATCACATGTTATTCACAATGATTTTTGCTTTCAGTTTATCTAGGATCTGGCTGGGAATTTCATCTACAAATTGCACTATTTTATCAACACACTATTAATAAAGCACTATTTTATCAACACACATCAAGTCGATAACTTTTCTTTTTCAAAACGTTTCGAAGTAAATATTATCATGACCTTTGCGATGACAATAAGGTGTTGATTTATAATAAAATGAAATGTATGAAACATTAGTTTCAATGTGCCCTTTTATCGGTTATGAAAAATGCCAACGACGGACAGACGGACAGGAATTCACGGACAGACTTGCATTTTCTTTGTAATTTGCAATACCATTTTTAAACAACAATCGCACTGAGCGGAAAGACCAAAAGGACAAACGGAACAAAGCCGTGGAAGCAAGACAAAGAGAGTAAAGGACGAGGCAGTAGGACAAAATGAGCCATGGGGGCAAAAGGAAAAGGAGGACAAATGGAACAATGGACGAAATGGGACAAAAAGGAGAAGGGCCAAGTGGGATATTTTTATCCAAAGATTTATGGACAATGGTAAAACAAACTAGAGTCCGCTAAAATTGATTAACGAGCGTTTTAATGGCCGTTGCTCTAAACGCGCTCTTAAAGCGTTGGATGGTCGTTCGACAAGGAGTTAAGGGCGTTTGACGACATAAATAAAATTTAAAAAAATCTGTTCAAAATCTATTCTGAAAATTTCAAGGTTATACAGAAAGGATACTTCTACTCGCACATAATGGCTATTATTCACTCGTAGAAATTACGACACTCGTTTTATACTCATTTTCTACTTCTTTCAGTTTAGCATAAAATGTTTGGCTGATTTTATAGGTAAAACTTTCTCACCTACAGCTGTTCTAATCACATTTTCCACCAAGACGGAGCTTTTAATTTTTATGCTTCACATTTCAAACATGTGGTTACCTTTGGTGATTTAGAATTATAACAGCATAGGTCCTGGACATATGCTGTTTCAATACTAAAAAAGATATGTGTCAGTCACCATTAATCAGCACTGAGTGCATTGGGACATGATATTTGCTCACAAAATGAATGTACATACCAGCTAAACAGTGATACAAAAAGTTTTTAAAAAGCCAAAAAGTAGACATGTGATGTTTCAATTCTAAACAATTCATTTACTTTCCTGGTTTCTGGGAACATTAATAAATTTTAAAAACCTTACAATGACTCTCCCCACCTCTCTGCCCCAGTCCACTACCGCAAACAACTTGGTAATCGTGAAAATACACTTCATTTTGGAGAAAAAATAACATCTTACTTCAATAAAGTGTACCCCAACAAATATGTTTTTAAACCATTATAGAAAGAGGAAAACCTGCAACGAAGAAAGATCTCGACATACTAAAAGAAAATCGATACATTTACATCTCTAAAGCCCACTTAGAATTAAAATTTCCTGCCCAAAATAATTTTTTTAATATTTCATTAAAGTGCATTCATAGAACAAGATTATTCCATGTTACATTGGAGTGAGCAGAACAGCTTGGCTGCACTTCATTCATTGTGTTGTTCCTCTTCCTGTAGGCATTTATTGTGAAGCACAGGTTACATGTGTTCTTGTTCCATTATGGGCTATTGTGGAGCTGGATTGAACCAATTTCCACTCCATAAAATCGGAAAGAATTCCTCCTGATTATCAATTAAAAAAAAAAAAAAAGAAATATTGCAGATGATTTGTGTCTATTACTTTATTATATTTATTGTCAGATACTTCATGAAAATAAATTTCCATAGGACTGTATTATTCTGCTTTTATTCACAATTAATAAATAAATGTAATCTGAATCAAAAAAATTCAAAAATTTTCTTTATACCTTTCTTCAAGTGCAATGAAACTAAAAGTGGAAATAATACTACAAACTCAAAATGAATTAAACAAAATTGCTTTACAGCACTTGGATTTCATGTCTCTTGCCATTCAGCCGCTTCTGTTTATTGCTTAGCATTCAAAAGAATCATAGGACTCAGGGATGACATGGTTAAAAAAAAAATTTCTGACCCAGTAGATGCACAAGGAATATTGCTGATAATAGGAACTTGATAGATAATAGAACTAGATAGAAAGCTGTTAAAACTCCTATGGATGATTTATAAGGAAAAAAATGTTTCAATTTATTTTGGGCTTAGGAACTGTATCCTTCAATTTACAACAATCAAAAATATAGAACAAAGTTTAAATTGTCATAAATTGATAGTTATGGCTTCTATGAAAATACTGAAACACAGAAGCTATTAGTTCTTATTGAAATATTATTTTGCAGCAATTTTTCAACTTATATTGCTCAACACATTGTTACTAATTTGTCCCAATAACATTCATTTGTGTGTTGGAGGTTTTTTGATGAATACTTAATTTTTAGAGGGCCTAAATGTTAGTGACCTTTTCTGCCAATTTGCTAGTCTATACATGGTCTGTATTGGTAACACAGATTATATGCCATTCTTTACAACATAAAAATAATTTATTATAAACTATTCTGCCTTCAACATCAGTTGAACAATTATATAAAAATACTGAGATCAAATTATGCTACTTTACATTTCTCTTCTTTCAAAACACACTGAATAGCCTTAACAAACACATCTTTCAAGCCAATGCCCAGAAATGATGAACATTCTACAAAACCTGAAGCATTCAAAATACATTTGAGATCTTTTCCTTGACTGCGAGAGATGCACTTGAAATTTTGATCACGTAAATCTGCTTTCAAAGCTGTAAAATTAAAAATGTCATGAAACATTATAATTGCAAAATGTAACAATCAAGAAATAAAGCAGATACTCACCTGCCAATAATATAGGAGTATCTTGACAATATTTTTGTATTTCTGGACACCAAAATGTTGAGACACGTTGAAAAGACTCCAAATCATTGACTGCATAACATACTATAATACATTCTGCCTAAAATTATATAATGAATATTTATTACAAAAAATTAAATTTATTTAAAAAAAAAAAAACATTAATCAATTCAACTTACTTTTCCATATATAAATTCCCTCATTTTATCATAACTTTCTAGGGCAATTGGTTCCCACAATATCAGATGGAAATCTTGACCATCAACTGTAATGTCTTCGAAGTATCTTTCTAAACTATTAGAAATAATAAGAAAACTACAAGTGATCTGATAACGCAATATTAAAGTATATGGCAACAAGCAAATTTTATGCAAAATAGGCATTGCTACCTTGGCCCTTCATAATTTTTCGAGTATTCATGAGTCACGAACGTTTTTAAAAGCGATGTTTTCCCAACGTAACTATCGCCAACTATAACGATGTTGATATCAGGAGGGCCTTTTGGAAAGCAGACAGTAGTGTTTACGTCCGGGCTCATCGTCATTTTTAGTTTTGAGAATGTTCATCGATCTTGACAGAAATATTTGTTAGATCGCTTTCCCAAAACACTACAGATAGTGTCACACTACAGATAGTATTGTAGTCGTACAACCACTTCGCCAAGTTTCTGTTATCCATTAATTGGCATGGGGAAGTGAGCTGTCAATTACAGTTTCGCCTCAAAACTAAAACACCTGTTGCACTGAGAGAGTGAGACAGAGATTAAGTGAGTGAGAAGTGGTGAGAAGTGAGTAATGTTCCAATTCTACCCAGGGGTGCTCTTGCACATCATATCCGACTTCAGCCAATGAGCTTCACACACCAGTTTGCGTCACAATATTTGCGGGAATTTTAAATGCAACGTTATGCAGTGCGATGCTGTATCATAACTCCCTTTCTCTCGACTAGAAATTTTGAAGAAATGGATGTCTGAAAAGATAAATGGAAACCATCCATAAGTAGCACAATCTGCAGCAAACATTTTCTCGGGGATTTCTGTCAGGTTAATATTAATGGTAGTATTAATTTGATGGTGATCGTTCTTTCTAACAGCATATGTGAAGTAAATTTACCTCAGCTGTATACATTTTCATAATTTCTTGTGTTTCTATGTGAGACTAGGGGTAAAAGTCATGTTACTGAAATAAGACGCAGTTCCTTCTGTGTTTGATTTTCCTGTTCATCTTGAAAAAAATATTTGAAGCGACCTTTAATGTGATTGGAACCTTCTTATGTTATTGTACGTAATTTGAGAACAAGTTTTATATTTATCATATAATATTTACTCCAATGAAAACTGTGTGAGAGTAAGAATTTGGCTTCAACAATGATGATATCAATTATTGATGAGCTTGTATGTATTACAGGACAAAGAAAGCGATTCTCATGATGGGGAAGCTGATTCTCAGTGCAAATCGCATAGCAAACCAAAATGTAAGGAGACATAGACTGGCCCTATTCTACAGTCGCCCGGAGCCACTGTGCCATCCGGAGGAAGAAAATTTAGCTTCTGCAAATGAGACTGAATTGCAGAAATAAGATTAATAACATCGTAAAATTAATCAAAGAACTGAGAAAGAAAGGACATTCAAATTATGACTTGAAAGTAGCCCTTGAGGAGCAGTTTAAGGGTTTTCTGTTTGAGTTTATCAAAATACAGTATCGAAATTCTAATTGTGATAAAAGGATAATATGGTACAGTGACTTGTGAAACAGTTTTCTCTTACTTTGCACTTTTATTCTCCTAAAGCATATATGTTTGATAATAATTTTCATTACCTCGTCCATTTAGACTAAGGATATGAATTTCTTCTGTAAATTATTAGGAAACAGGTTTTATTGGTGAAGATTTCAAATCTTTAAATGAAAACAGTCCCAAGATATCACATTTGAACAACAACAACAACAACAACAACAATAATAATAATAATAATAATAATAATAATAATAATAATAATAATAATGCCTTTTTCAATGGCGAGGCTCAGGCCTGCTCTTCCGCCTAACTGCTGAGTTTACATACATACAGTGAAGTAACATTTTAAGAGGGGAGGACAATCTGTACATTTCCGTCAGGGAATACAAAAATAGGGACCAGCCCGGCGTACGCCTTATGCGATTAAGTAAACCCAGAAAACGTCAATCAAGATGGCGGCTTAGAGCCGAACATTAATAGACCTATGTTATACATAGTAGTGAGAAAAATTCAGAGAAAGAGAAAAGAGAAGACGTACAGGGGAATGGGTTATAAAGGAAAAATTATTAAATTTGTGTGGGAGAGCGAAGAAGCGGAGAAAAGGATAAAGTACGCGAAAAAGTGAAAATATTCGAGGAACGTTACAGAAAGCTACGTGTGGTTAACATTAGCACGTTACATAAATATAAAATAATTTTAACACTAGAGAAGCACAATATACAATAACCTAATAACAACAGTAATTTTAAACACAATATTGACTGTATTAAGGAATAATATAAATAGTGCTGGGATCGTAAATCAATTTTGTTTATAGTAATATATTGAAATAAAGATTATGATGACGGTACTGTAATAGGACGGTCGCACGCGTCAGGTGGCGAAGCGTGTTTTAAAATATTATTGAATATGATGTTTCTGCGAAAGATGCCAAAAAACGTACATTTTTCGTTACCTGCAAGAGTGTTCGGAGCGTCGGGGACGCTGAGGCATGCAACCCTATTGTCTCGGCACAACCGACGCCTGGCCGCATCCGGTGACTCACAGAGAAATACGGATACCGCTGTTTCATAGCTCGGCAACGCAGCTGCTCCCTTCTTTTAGAACTTGGATGACGTTCGAGATTTGCAGCATTTAGCGGGACTCGGGCGTCCATCAATTGAGCGGAAGAAAAATGGAGCGGAGACATGAAGTAGGTGGTTCTTGCCGAGGTGCGGGCGAGGGCAAGTTCCTTCGCGTCACGAGGGGACACGATGCGCTGCCGCATCGTAACATCGCTAAACCACCTCTGTGGACACTGACTGAAAGAACGGCATGGGCCATGACTGTAAGTGCCCGAACGCGAACTCACAGTGTGCACACGTGTGCTTCCTGGTAACAGTGTTCGTAGGCGTTTCAATGAATGCATTAAGGACAAAAACTTTAGGATTTAGGACTTTTGAAGGAATGTGCTCTTATATTTGATGGTTTGTTGATGATAAAGCAGTTGATATGGAAAGATAGCAAGAAAAGATTATCAGTTTATGTTAACATGGGTGGCATAGCATCAATGAAAGTAGAACTGGCAGGGGAGGCCAGGCAAAAAATGTATGGATCATTTATAATTTCTGAGTTCACATTTATTATTTTAAACTTCAATAATTATTTCTATAATTGCTCAATTAACACTGTGATTAATTGTGTAGATATACACGAAACAAAATTGCTAAAAGAAATTGTAAGAGTGTATTCCATCCTTCGATTAAGAGCAGTATCAAGGAATGTCACAATAAATGAACATGGAAAGAAAAGCTCCGTAAGACAGAAAGACACTATCTCTCTCTCTCTCTCTCTCTCTCGTCGCCTTCCTCATGCAACTGATGGCAGCAGTTTTGAGCTAATAGGAAAGTTGCCAGCCCGTTCCATTTTTGTGAGAACTTCTCCAGTGACAAATTCTTGGAATTGGAAGAAATGTTAAGGTAGTAACTAATTATTTAAGTTAAATAATTCATAGAGTAATTCAAAGGCGCATTACGATTTTCGGCCCATTATTGTATAGGGTTACCATTCTGTAATGACCCCCCACTTCGCGGTCGTTGTCAGTGTTCGGCGCCAGGCGTATTTTGGCAGGCGAGTCGACCGACTTACCTGTCACGCCGATTTTCAACGATGTCGAAACTCTCGGTGGGAATAGCTCCCGGTGAGATGAGACTATCTTCGGGGTGCAGGTTCCCTGGATTAGTTTCCGTTAATTAGGAATCAAGTGTGCTCAACATGCTCTATTGAATGACGATAAAAATTCCTTCAAAGTGGATCCTGAAGGGAGCACACAGTTTATTCTTAATACCCTCTATCTACTATTATAATGGCTTTACAGTGCAATTTTCTGGATGTTCTGAATTTTTACGTACAAAAAAATTAAAATTATCATGCACTAGGTGCTTCTTCTTTCTTGAAGTTCTCTAGTTCATTCATTAATTGTCTAATCATTTACTGAATTTTGTACGACTCGATTCGTGATTACAAAACTGCTTGCTTCACTTACAATTTCTATTAATTTCGTGAGAAGACGGTCGCCCCTGGAGGAAGCTCGCGGTCGCGCCGTAAACGGGCCGGAACGCTCCTTTTTGTTGTGAGGGAGGCGGTCGGGCGGCTGTACAGAAGTCGATGACCCTGAAGGTTGGATGACGACGGGGTTGTGGTGCTCACAATGGAGTCCGGCAATCAGCAAGTAAGCCAGATTCTCTTTCTCTCGTACAGTGTAGTTACAGGTACGTGATGCAGGCGCATTCGCGCCACAATCACGGTGTTTTAGCAGACTTCGAAATGCCGAACCATTGACGTGGCGACTATTGTTTTCGATGATGGTGGAATTTGACTGTTGTCACCGACGAATGCTCGCTAATTTGCTGCCCTCAATGTAGTCGGCTCATCTCCCGTATGCAACTCTCGATATCGTTCGCCGGTCTCTGAAGTGTATCTCTCGGTAACTTCCGCCCTCCTGCTGATCTCCGCGGCGGGTTCCTACCTCGTGTACTCAATATCCCAAGCAAAGCCTCGTTCCCAAATAATTTTGCCCTATGATCCAATTAGAATTTTGCATTGCATGGGTGCGGAACTCGCGTCGGCGCCAACATCCGGAATGTGCTACCGATGGGTCACGTGGTCGAGCTTCTAGAAAACTCTAGAACTTCTTCTCTTTTTATTGGCTATCTACGGCTTTCTTTATTCGGTCCTCATCGCTGCTTCAGAACCGGGTCAAGGGAGCCATTGTTCGAAAGAACTCTCGCCGATTACAGTGACTTCTCTCACGCAGCGAGTACGTCTTCCGTCACTATTCCTGCGGAGGCCTGCGTCTGCTTGCGAGATGCGCGGATGCTGTTTCAATTGAAACCTTTTCTTCGCGTGATTTGTGCAGTGGGTTCCGAGCATTCACGCCAAATTAGTGCAAGTTTTCGCACGTAGTGCCGCGTTGTTCGCCGGCTGCGATGGGTCTGGGCGACAAATCCATGGCGCCTCCGGGAAGAGAGAGGGCGAGCTTGGCCATTTTGGGTATTGTCCGTAAAGGGCCTCCTCCCACTGCAACGCGTTGGCAGCAGAAAGGAACAATAAACGGCGCAGCTGGCCCGTCTGTCGGCCCTGGGCCTTTCTTCAAGAACGTTTGTTTATGACTCTTTAGGGAGGGCGCGTGTGAAGAAGAAAAGCCTTTTTTTTTAAAAAACAAAGATGCTTATTTCGTTTATTAAGATTATTAATCAGAAAAAATAGGACATTACGACTGACAAAAGCTTGACACGTAGCAATTCTTCCGTCATAGAAACAGAGAACACTTCATTTAAAATGTTTTAATAATCTATTTTTCCTAGAGACAAAATACTTACTACCGTCAAAATAAATACTTAAATCATTGTCATCTCTTTGAGCCTCACAAAAAAGGCATACTTTATTATTATTACTATCTTTTCCACTTTTATAGCAGAAGTATTTGGTGGATGATGAAGTTTCCCTCAAAAATTAAAACTTTGCTTTGAACCTTGCCACAAACGCTTTAATGTTTAAGTATATCATTAAAGTCGGGATATAAACTCCACAGAGTACAGATTATTAATTTCACGGGCCCGCAGAACAGTATTGAGAGTATTAACACTACGGTGCGTACGACCTATAACCAGCACCATCATCCAATAAGATGTACCAGCTGATGGCTGTATTGTTGCATTTCATGAAGAAAGGACGTATGTGAATATAGTTCATCTATGGATTTTGATGTTTGTTGGGCGAGATAATTGAAGTTGAAGGTCATTTATTTACACAAGAAGGAAATGTTATAATGTTGGGGACTCGAAAGATGCAAATATCTTCGTATGTTGTACGAGGTTGCATTTAAAAGTAGAACTCCCTTTCCAATAAAAAAAGAGGACATTTCGTCCTTTCTTGTAAAATCCACCCAGACAATTATTCTTAGTTAAAATGAGAACATGTCCAAGGAAAAGAGGATGTATGGCAACCCTATTATTGTAATAAAATTCCTTTCATAGTATTAAACTAGTTACCAGCCAAAATAATGTTTTGAAAGTGGGAAAAAAACAACACCTTTTCCCCCATCTCAATTACAAAGTAGTTAGTGTGTATGGATGGGCACGATTGATAAATGAACTTTTCTTTAAAAGTAAATAAATAGAAATTTCATGAACTACGCAGAGCATCCAGTCAGGCAAGCTTGCGACGTATCGGTGCTTAAATGTTTATGCTTATAAGGGACTAGTAATAATCATCATTGGGGAACCCATAACAAATGCGTCCAGTCAGGTAAACGCAACGCACTGTATAGGTGGGTCACGTAACATTAGCACCTATAATTTTCGAACACTTACAAGTTATTGCAATGCAGTTTTCACAGAACTACATGAGAGAATGGGAATAACTCCAATCGTTCAAAAATTAGATATGCTTAAGTTATATGACTCATCCTGCGTGGGGCCTATTGTCGAACTGGAAGACAAATTCCCACGTTGTTAATGGTACTAATATTGCTCTCAGATATTCTCGGTTTTATATAACTTTGATTTGAATTGTAAAGCAGTGTTTATTCCTATCACCTTCAGTAGGTCTAGATTGGTCGAAGATACTGTTATACATTTCAGTATTGGAGAGGGTAATAGCGACTTGGGTTGGTTTTTGACTCAATAGTGTCTTTTGAAGACAATATACAGCAAACTATTAATAGTGAATCAACGACTGGCACTTAAATGACCCATTTTTATAAGTCATTTTATTGCATTTTTTGTCAATTTCGACTAACAAGTCTTTACTGCAATAATCGCTGATTTCATAATTTTAATATTTTTACGGTAGTTGCTTCAAACAATATTTATGAGGTGCAACAAATGTTCATCACAGAATTCGAGAGTAGCATATTTGATTTCTTTGCTCTAATAATGTAATGTCAGTCATTGATAATACTATGTAATCTAAGGTTCCTGTGACGTTTATCGGCGCCATTGTCAGTTCGGCCGAATTGGCTATAATGGTAAATATTTTCTTTTAAAGAACGGTCAAAACCAAAGTTTGCAAACCTCAAGTTTGAGTTCACTTGAACAAAAGAAAGAAGCCCTGATTGCATCACAACATATCCAACAGCTTGAGTTGTTCATCTGCAGTGCTTTTGATCAATCTTTTCAGAACATTTTCCTTTGTTTTTAGGGCATTTTATTGAACATTTTTGTCAATGTTTTAGGTCATCAAAATCTGCCCCCTAGTTATTATGATAGCACTGTATCCAAAAACTATAAACCATGATCTCCTCACCTATAGCCACAATTTTTTTTGCTATTCACATAAATTAATTAGAAATTGCACAACAAAGATTTTCAGAATTGTGGCATGCACCATAGGACCCCTATATCGAAGAAAATTTTTGAAAATGTCACTGCCTTTGGGTGTTTCATCTCTCACATCATGTAGAATGTGAGTAATGTGGATAACTAGAATGTGAATACATTTTCAAGTTACATTGAAAATTGGTGAAAATAGGTTTATGGTAATTATGATATAATACATCCCCCAAAACAATGTTATACGTACAAGCACCCATCCATTCAAAGTCATTGACACTTATGGTACCAACTAAAGAATTCGTAACTTTTTCATTGAATTCACAACTCAAATTTAGCAAGATATCATACATGCATAAAGGGGGTTATAATCAGATCGGATAAACAAAATATATTAAATTGAAATTCTTTGAAGGCATTGTGAAAGTTTTATTAGCTGTTTCAACGAGTTTGTATATTTTTAAAATATTAATTTCAATAAATTTTTTAAATGTTGTCTTTCATCTAATTTTTTCAAATATTTTTTATTGAATGTTCGCGACAGCATCGCCACTGATGTACTTTGTATGGTGCTCTAAGTGTTGTTGTTTTTTGTTTTTTTTGTCTAATCCATTATATCAATCTACGAGCCCTTGAGAAAGTACTGACATAGTGCATTAAATTCAATACATTATTTGTAATATTTACGCACACAATGTATTGTGTAATTTCTTTTTTAAGTCTGTTAAAAAATAGTTTGTGAAATATTTTAATTTTTTTCTAGTAGTTACAACATACAGTAAAACATGGTTACAAATATTGCTGGAAAAAAGCTACAATACATTTTAGTTGCAAAATTGTTTGAAACATCTTGAAACTGAATTCTGCGAGTTAAAAACGTAATATTAAATTCATGTTCAACCCAAAGGTAAAATTGAAACTTAGTAAACAAAAAGCTGTAATGTAGCTATCCCCACAGTAACTCCAGCTGAGGTATTTCAGCAAATTCTTTGAGTTGTAGGAAATAATAACTTAAGTGTTCTGTAATGACAGTAGCAACTTTTCCTATTTCAAATAAATTTGGAAACAAATAAACCAACCTGTTTTGCAATATTTTATTGGCATCCAAGAGAGTGAATTCTATTTCAAAGACAAACAAAGAATTAACAATGAACATTGTGGGAAGATCAAATAAGTGCATTCAGAAAATTTCAGTGTTCTGAATATAAGCCACACTTGGCATATAAATCTCACTTCATGCTTCAAATTCTTTGAATTTCTTGAAATTGTTTTATGTGCATTTCTTATTGGCAAATTTAACTATTAACAATTTCAAGTGACTAAATTCAAGATATAATCATTCTGAATTATTTTTAAGTAAATATCTTGACATGTAATAATGTTTCAGTAACACCATGCACAATGGTGGAGTGCAATTAACAAGAACAGTGGCGGTACAGCAGTCAGCTACTTTTTTAAAAGTTCATGTTAGTGTACATTACTAGCAATTTATGAAAATGATCTACATATCAACTGGCATATTGTATTATCCACACTTTTCTTAGAAAATCACAAAATCTTACCAATGTAGCTTATATTCTGTACACACCCACACAAACACGCACACATACACACGCGCATACACACACATACACACTCTGCAAATAACAATAGGAATTTCAGGGCTCATAAAACAATTAAACCTGCACAATGCAGTCAAATATGTGAAAAAATATTGATTGCCAAATAAACTTATAGATTTATACAGACTCCTTTATGGTTATTTAAATCCCAATCATCCAATATACAACATAGCAACAAAAATCCTTTTAACTGCACACCAATGACTTCTCTCAGAAATAATATTTATATACAGGGAACATATCAAAAATACTAACAAATTATGCATTTCATCACAAAACTGATATGCAGTTCTATTAAGATTTCAAAGGGTTTCAAATCTACTTTTTGGAATGTGACATTATGGAAAAACAAAAAGTATTTCAACTAATAAAATATCACCCTGTTGGGATTACATTAAGCATCACCCTTAAAAAGTAAACCGGGCATCAAAATTGTAACACTCATTACATCTCAATCCATTGCAAGCTCAATTCAACACATTACCAGTTTCCATTTTTCACATCAGATCTTTTTCAAATAAGTCTCTTTTAAAAAAAATACATTCGAATTTAAATACACTCAATATCTTTCCATTAGTAAAGGTAGTTATCTCAACAAGTAACTTCACATGCATCCCCAATATCATTGACAACTACAAATATTTCCTCATTTGCAGATTCCATTGAAATTTTATTAGAAATCTTATTTGAATTTTTTTCAATATCTGCCAACTTGAGGAAAGTAGTATGAACTCAATGTGGGGGAAAGAAAACACTATTAGGCTTTAGATCACCTTTCGCACTTTCAAATACAACAATATATGTAAGCACACATTATAAGCGTCTTGCTTGCCTAGATTTTAGTTAAAAGCCAATACAGTACTTTTGCAAGAACATTCATGTTCAGGCAAAAAAAAGCTTTATGCACAGTACAAATAAGAGCAGGGGAACAATAAAATAGATGGTACATCAAAACGAAAAAAAAATCAATTTTTTGAAATTGTAACATTGCATCCAAAACTAGAATGATGTAATATTATGACACACATATGGTTGAGATTAGTAAAGTTGTTTTGCAAACTGCATGAGCTATATCATCAACTGTAAAATATGTAATTGCAGATTGATGTAGGCAACCTATCATCTGAAAGGAAAGCAACTGCAGTCACCAGATAATAAGATGGCATTTGTCTACAAGTACTATTATTCACTAAGAACACACTGTTAGCATTTGAAAGCACAATCCAATGCTTTCACTCCGAAATCCATTCACATGAAATAAGACACATTTCACAGCAAAAAAACAGCATTTAACCTACATAGTTAAGTACAGCTATAGTACTCCAATTACAATTACAAGCAGAAACTTTAGTCAAGTGACCAGAGCAGATAAGTGAAGAGGTGCTCACTTCAGTATTCTATTTTCTAAGAAATAACTGATAGAATGCAATATTCCCCTGCTCCCCATATTTCATTTAAAGAAACAAAACCGTAGAATTACCATTCAATAAAAACACACAATAAATAGGGCAAGAGACCAATGCAGTTTGTATGGATCATTCAACATTAAAATCTTCTCTAAGAGTGCCACAGAAGTGGCAAAGTAATTATGAGTTCATAATGGAACTCTACAACGGTTTTGGATGCTGCAGCAATTCATGATTTTTATGGTCACAATATTCATAATGTAGAAACACCTTTCAAATTATGAAGACTGCAACATTTGTTGACATGAAATATATACATAAACATCAAATATAAATACGACAATTACCATTTCATTAAATTTCTTCCAAGAGACTGACTGCTTAATGCAAAGAAAAATCCTGAGTACTCCTTCAGGATCATATCAAGATTTGAAATTCATTTATTCATACATTTTTGATAAGTTAATGAAATATTATTGTGTTTCATGTTCATCTTATACATTTATACTTGTTCATATTCTCATTCACCAAATACACACCTGAGCTCAATTGTGTACCTAGGGTTCCAAGCTTTGTTATTTGCGTAAAGGAGTCAAAAGTACGAATTAACTAAATATCTGTGGGGAAACATTACGGAAAGAAGCATGGACATAAGGAAAAATGTGGTTTAGTTCAACCCCAACTGATACACAAGCACCATTACATCAAAATAAAAGAAACAACAATAATGAAGTGAGTTCTTAAGGGTAGCTAACATCATTTCAAAAGTACTCACATTTATTGAAAAAGAAACACCACAAAAAAATGTGCATTAAAAACAAGCAATTCTTATGCAGCAAGATGACTTTTATAGGAGTATCATGTGATACTGTAGTGATTTATCTCGCAAAAAGAGCTGCCCCTTTCACCACATCTTTTTACTTTTTACAAAATCACTTTAAAATAAAACCATCTAGTGGTTCGTATATATAATATTTTGTGAGAACAAGCCTAAATTACTGAATTAATATTTACAACTTTCAAGCAACAACTCAAAACAAAGATTTATATCTACAATTTTAATGCAGATTCACATAACTCATCAGAAGGAATCAACATACTGACAACTCTATTGTTAGAAAGGAATTATTCCACGATTAACTCAGCTCTTCATTATATTCAATTTTTTCATTACTGAATGGTAATTCTAGTTGCACAGAGTTGTGGCTTTGACTTGGAGTCAAGCTGAAGCAAGCAGCACAGTGGGCAGTGAGTGGGCTAGGGCAGACTAACTCTTGGCAACATCCATGGGCGATGGTGAAGTAGTACTGGGCGGAGATGGAGCCACTTGATTGCCACCACTCAGCAGAGAATTGTTACTTGGAGTAACAAGAGCAACTGGAGGGATTGCTGGCTTGATAAAACGTTCCGATGCTCGACGGCCAGGCTGAAAAATATAAAGTAATGTAAATGTAAAGAACCAGAAGGGAAATAACAGTGGCGCCGAAAGGGGGTGACCATGCAAATTTTCGTATCACCTCAGACGAAAATTTTATTAAAAAAAAAAGCAGGGTACATATTTTTACCTTCTAAATTAAAATGGAGACAAGTAATGCTAGGTTTGTTAAAGGGGATGAGGGGTCTTGTGAAACAAACTAGTAACTCATGAATGCGTGGTTGACGAAATGCACCTGATCGCACCCACGATCAAATTAGTGATATAACATCTAATAAAATATTACGACACGACAGACACTAGATATTTTTACTACAGAAGAACAAGGAGTTCTAAAGGGGGCTAAACAGCCTCTTTTCCTTAAGCGAGTTCAATTTGAGTAGGATCGGTTCCAGGAAACACCAGAAAGAGGGTATATTCTGATATATCATTTCTATCCCTGGAGGACGAAGCAGGGCAAAGCAGCCACGCAGAGCCTGGTGGTTTGGAAAGATTCAATCGTGTCAATTACACAGAAATAAAACAAGACATGAAATGAGAAATGTTTTTTCTCAGAAGGGCATTTATCATGCCTGCACTTGTGCTTCTGTTCTAGGTCTTATACTCGAATCCCGACGTACATCCTATAAGCCAATGAAATTTGTTGTTTTGTTGCAACATAGAATAAGGATTTGGATTGGATTAGAGGAGTGGATGATAAAGTGTCACCGAAAAGGGAAGAGGACGAGCCAGGCTTCATGATAATCCGAGGTAGCGAGGAGCGTCACTTACGTACTTATCCCTAATCTATTTATCTCTGTGCAGTATTTGAACAAAACTCTGAGTGTGCGGTTCCGTCACTCTCAGCTAGACCACTTCCCGTGCACCAATCGAGACGTATGAAGTGTCATTCGACGCATCGGTGGAACATAATTTATGGGGAACATAATTTGTTTTCGGATCCGGTCAGAATATTCAAAGAAATTTCCAAAGACTTGTTTTTTTTGTGTTTTGGTGCAGTGATCTTGGTGAATGGCCCGATGAGATAAAATATATACACATTGTGAGAAAACCATTTCCAAACCATTATTTATCTACTTCAAAGTACGCCACTTCACGAAAAGTAATACTGCAAACACAAGTTTTCCAGCACACTAAGCCAACTGGCTTCCGGTAGAGGCATTAGGCACATTCAAGGACTTATTCATTATTATTTGGAAATAAGACAGCATAAATAATGCCTGTTAAAAGAAATCCCTATAAAATATTTGAAAATTTAAAATAAAAATTAAATAAGAAATTATTTCACAAGTTTTTGTTAATTAAAACAATAACCCAATACGTATTTTTGCGGTACTAAGTTACCCTCCTTTGAAACAGGATACTTAAAGAACATTTGGGTATTTCCATGCACCTTTCCACATATTACAATAGAATGTTTTACTTTATTTGAAATTTTATTTAAATATTATTTTTCTCTGTTCTTTCTAAAATAAGTAAAAATAAAAGTAAATATAATGTTTAAAGAACATTTGATGATACTAATAAATATGAAACATTGAAACTTACCACTATTGGTGGAGCAGGAGGCGAGGAAGACACAGGCAGGAATCCTCCACCCACAATAGGTGTGGGAGTTACCATGACTCCTGCTGGGCACAGAGGAATTGAACTATACGTAGTTTGCCCACAAGTGTAACACCTACTCATAGGCCCTGAAGACGGAGCTCCCGGTGCTGAGAAACTGTCGCGCGATGAAGAACCTACCAAATTTACACCTGGAAAAAAAGCATCAACATCACTATGTGCATCAGAATTATTTCACAAATTGATGACTTATTTTTTACTCACCAGGACTAAGAGGCCTTGAAGAACTTGGCGAAGGATTATATGGAACAGGACTAGACACTGTCCTCGACCGGACATTTCCACCAGACATTGCTATTTCATTATAGTGCCGCTCTTCTTCCATTTCCAAACTTTTCATACAACAAAACAAAATAGAACATAAATAAATAAGAAGCGTTAAACTCAAAAAGTATAAACTAAGAACAGCTGGATGATACAACTTTCCGACGTTTTTTAAAAATTATTCCATTATATTTTTACAGTACATCACTAAACCGAACACTAGCAATTCTAGCCACAGAAAAACGATGGTATTAGCTGGCTGTCATCAACTTATATCTTATGACAGAAATGAAGATTAAGATTCAAATCAGACACGTAATACTGAAGAGAAGAGGAGCCAAAATTGAATATTGTGAGACACAAGAGCTAAATGATCATGGATAAGAGTGAACCACTTTATCCTGAGATTATTAATTATTTCTCTTCTAGCTAATTGCTGTGGACGACCTGAAGTGAACTTTACTCAACCTGTGAACGAGAAAAGAGCAACTCAAGGAATCAAAGACTTTGAAAAAGCCAATGGCGCATAGAACTCGAAGCGGGAGGGAATGGCCAAAACTGACAAGACCTGATCTGAACTGTAGGGAAAAGAATTTGTGCCACCACAAAAGGGAGATTCAAGAATTCGAAGTAAAGAATGCCTAATGAAATCTTGAATTTGTATAGCAGCACTCACCTCAAGCGTCATTGGCAAAAAAAGAATTTGAGAATTAGCATGAAAATCAAAAAAAATATAGATTAGCAATGTTGGGGATAGAATTCATTAATTATTCACGTAGTTTGGAATAGATTGAGAATTGGAAACTTGATTTTTTTGTTATTTTAAGGGGCACTGTGTATGAAGTGATGACATTTTTATAATGTCTAAAATAAAAATAAAAAAGAACATTTTCAATTTTCTTTTTAAATTGTTGGAATGGTATTCAGACTTCCCAACGAAGGAACAAAAATAAATGTACTTTTTAATAAACCCTATAGGTAGAAGTATTCTCCCGCTATCACACACTAAAGAGATTGGAAAATTAATTATTAGGAGGCAGGGGCAGGGGGAGGGATATCCCCCCACCCAACATTTTTTCAGTAAATATTAATATTAACTTCTCGTGAAATTTAAGTAACAGGAGGTGCTAAAATAGCACATTTTGCCACATATTTTCACGCAAAATTGGGGATATGTATTCAAATTTCGAAAAATCGAACATGACGTTATTTCAAAATCTGTCAAGGAACAGATTTCAATAAGGGAAAAAATCTCTATCTCTGATAATTTAATTGTAGGAAATGTTTTGCAACATGAGCCCTGCGCCATTCTCTTAAGCACCCTTCATACTAACAAAAAAGTAATAAAAAACGATGGAGCCTTTTCTTCTGAAAATTTGAAAAATGTCCCAGGGGATTCATGTAAAGTACATCCCAAAATAGAAAAATCGATTTCAAATTCCAGGGGCCGTGACATCAGCCAGGTCGACTGAGGAATATCAATTTTGGAGAAAATCGGCGGGACGGTTTAACCGTTGTTCACAGACTGACTGACATTTAGGTGTCATTCGATTTTTCGGTTACAAGGACCCACAAAACACAGATTCTATGTACACCACGTGTCAGAGGATTTTTTATAAATTTAGCATCTGGATTTATCCACTTTTTCGTAACCAGGGCTGTAATTTACCAGCCCTGTAAAAAGAGTTTTCAGTCGAAAGTTCGAAGTTTTCGCTCAGCATTAAATAACTCCGTAAAAATATTTTCGGTTAACCATTAAAACGAATAAAATTATCGCAGCACGAACTGAGTTTAGCCTGCGTCATTCTACATAATTTCTAATATGACACGACCAAAACAGTTTGAATAAAAAACTTAATCTTAATACACCGATCACACTCCACACTCGACTCACAGCCGGGCATTTATATAGATCCCGAGGATGGTGAAATATAACTAGGGGGCGGGTTTTGATTATCTAAAACATGACCAAAAATAATCAATAAAATACTATGTCCCAGATGTAAATATCAAAATACCCAAAAAGCACAGAAAAATGTATTGAAACGCTATTTTTTAATCAAAACAAATTCAGATGCAGAACTCAAACAGTTGTATATGTTACTGATGTAATCACAGTGTCAGATCGAGACCCCCACGGATGACTATTAACCTATGGCGGGCAGCAAGTGACATTTCGCGCAATTACAGTTTGCCCGAAACAAAAAAGTTGGGCATGGATCGCTTACATCCGCCTGGAAACGTTGCGGTTAATCAGTAGACTACTAAAAGAAGAGAAAGAAAACATCTAAAAAGAATAATAAGAATAGAGAAAGAAATCTAACGAAAAGAAAAATATGAGGTTTGAGACATTTTGTGAAATCCGGGTTGAAGAATGTCGACAGGAACAGTAATTTTTGTGTAAGCGAATGATTCATTTGTAAATCGATAAATCGATTATATATATATATATATATTATACATATACATGACGAAAGCCAGTGACCAAGTTACTTCTTTCTTTCGTTCAAGTGATCTCAGCTTATAAACTTTTGGTTTGAACTGTTCCTTACCATGAAATCTGTCTTTAGTTATCCCGAAATTTGCCGAACTAACAATAGCACTGATAGGCGATTACCTCAGATTACATACAACAGCTGACATTACAATATCTGAGCGAAGAAAGCGAATAGGCATATTCAGAAATACTGTGTAGAACGTTTGTTGCATCTCGCAAATATTATTTGATTGGATTATATATATTAAAGAATGTACCATTAAAATCGACAAAATCAACAGAAAATGCTTTAAAAATGACGGAAAAAGGTAAAAGAGACTTATAAGTCCAAGTCGACGAAAAATATGTAAAACAAGCCATATGAAAATAAGTCATTTCCTTTTGTCACAACAAAATTAATGTCTATACTAAATACGTCGTTCTAAAGTGAAAAGAAGAAAATGCCATTTCATTAAACTCCGCTCCTAGTACTAACTAATTTATACGGTGGTTCGTGTTGCAGGAGAGATATAGTTCAACACAAATCATACAACACACTTCTCACCTGCTTTCGGATTCAGATAGATGACGGCATAAAGCTTCTCGCCTTTCCACTTCTAATTGAAGTTTCCTTTGCAGTCGCAGATTTTCTTCGCGGATATTCTTCTCCTCGTTTACATATCGTTGCATTTTTTCTGTATCTAAAACAATCCACAAAAAAACAGACATATGACCAAAAGCCACAAATAGACAATATTTTTATTTTCGATATTTTATTTATTCTTATACGCGTTGTAACCCCAATACGAGAAAATTGATGCATAATAGTTTTCAATATTGAAAGAAATAATTACAAGCTTGAACTCAAATACCGAAACTACAAAATACAAGAAATACTCAAAATACCAAAAACGCATAAAACAAGTGATTACATAATAGTCAAGAATAAAAACTAGATTGTCACAATTTGTTAACAGAAAAGTACAAGACACAAATAAGACATAAAACTAATAAAAATAAAACCATAAGACACAAGACAGTTATTAGTTTTATTACATTATAATTAATACAACGCTGTAAAAACGCGAATATCACAATTTTCACTGTAAAAGTATTAAAAAGATACTAACCATACAGGTATTACTTAAATTTAAACAAAATAGTTTGGACTTGAAAGCTGAGTGAATTCAGATACGTAAGTTAATAACCAAATATTTCTTTTAAATAAACTAGTTATATTGCCACATATTTCCTCGGTGTATAAGGTACACCAACAAAGTTATAACTAGTACTACAAAAAGATATATTAAGTTTCACTGAAATCTGCAATAACATCTGAGCATGCTAGCATTTGATCAATGTCCAAAATTGTTTTAACAATATGTTGTAGTTAAAAGTAAATTGTTTTTACCATTTGTTGTAAACAAAAGTTGTTTATCTTTTTTATTGAGTTATTTTTAAAAATCGTTTACATAATACGGTTGGATGGTTGGTTGTTAGTGATATCGGGCCCGTCAACTTCAGAAGTGATTAGTCCCGTACAGGACCTAGCTTCTCATCAAAACCGGGGACAAAGCACGAGGGTGCTACTCTAGGAGGCGCTAGTGTCGCCAGGTACAGATGCAGGTTAGGCTCGCCAACTTCCCCATATAAAAACTGGCTAATTTGTGAGAAATAGGAAAAGTGCCTCGTGGATGTTCAATTCCTCTTCAAATATAATATAAGAAACCTCTGAAGAAAGCGTAAACATCGGCGCTATCTTTTATAACATTATAGGTCTGCTTGCGTCACGTGAATTCACCCAGCAGCTACAAACATTTTAAGTATCGTTGGCAGCAGTTTGTGTTTTAGTTCCTGTAAGATGGTACTGTAGCAGAGCGCGCCACCGTAATGATTTCCACCAAGTTATATGGGAGTTGCAAGGTCCCGAGTCCCGTATGTGTAGTGCATGTTTCCCTCGGAAGGTGGCGATGATCTTCCCTAGCTGGATGGCGAGATCCGGCGCCGACCTACCGTCGTGTTGCGGGGTTCCCCTTAATTATCTCCCACCAGCCGGGACAAGCTCTACGCGTCCGACCGGCCTCCCGGCATGTGTGGTAGTGTCGTGCATGTTGTGTGTGTCTAAGGGATAAAGTTAGGAAGAGGAAGCAAGGATCGCGCGCGGTCCGAGGCCCGTTTGTTAGGGTACTGCTACGACGTTCGCCTTGTGTTGATAGGAGAAACCGCCGAAAACTACAGATCAGAGCAACCGGCATCTACAATTCTCCTCCAGATAGCGACTGAGTTCGATCTAGCTGACCAGCTAGTGTCACAAATCTTGCCACTGTTGGGACTCGAACCTAGGACCTCCCGATCAGAGGCACTGCAGTAACATCAGTTGATGCACCGAACCACCTGTCCCGGTTTTCCATAATGCAAATGAATGTTTTAATTCTGATGATTAAGGTTTATTAAGTGTTAAGGTTCAATAAGCAGAATGGCACATTTAAACACTAAAAAATAAACAAAAAAATTTATAATCAATTTTTGTATTAGCCAAGTTAGCTTTAAAGATCAAGATGACCATATTTTCGTTCACAAAAGTACATGTAAAGTTGTAAATTTGTTTTAAAGTATATGTAATATTGAAAATTATACATTAGGTCATTTTAAGTTTATTAATAATAAAGTATAATTTATTATTTTAAATCAATGTAGATTTTATTATAAAATAGCTTCAAGATAATATGATTACTACTTGGTACAACACATCCTCAATGTGGAAATGAAGTCTCTTTATGTGTAAGTTTACAATTGTTTAAAAAATACTTCAAGTGAAATCTAAACATTGAAATTATTACGTAAGTTTGGTATCACAGTGATCTAGCATGGTCCCCAAAGGGTGATATGAATAATTTCAAAGCAATAACTTCAAACAGTATGAATAAAGAACGCGAGTAATTGTTTTGAAGCAAATTGCGTTTGAACGTTTCTGTAAATGCCTTATTTTGAGCTTTCACAGAAAATTGCCAAGTTTTCGAGAAATTTTATATGACATTATTTAAAGCACATACTCATAAACATAATTATGTGAACTATGGCAATGCACTGGGTATAGAAGGTTTTAGGCATGCTACAAAGTCTGCTGAGGGAACATGAATGCAAAAATACGATTTCCGAATCGTTTTCGTGGTTTGGTCGGCTAGCTCATTGCCTGCAATCCCATATGACCCGGAACCCAAATACTAGGTCATAGTGGCTAGAAAATAGACGATGAAACATGTATACTTGTCAAGTGATCCGAGGGAGAACAAGTTAAAAGTCACTCGAGTGCACTTCGGGAATTGCTGCATATAACTACTCGTCTTAGCGCACCTGCTTCTATATATTTCAGGGCTTGCAGTACAGCGAACTTCCCAGCAGAGAATACGCTCCAGTACGGATAATTTTGAACGAACGCGTGGCCGTTCTAAGTAGATCGCACCTGTCAGTCATTTGTTGCAGAGCGGTCAGTGTATAAGAAAGTATGATCCGGGTAAGATACTCGCAACTCATTGAAGCATTTTAGATGTTATGGAAGTAGTTGATGTTTTGGGGAAGTTGGTGCAGCTGAAGCCTATTAGATGTCGGAGAAGTTTCCAAGGAGGGACCAGATTTTTGGGAGGCTTCATAATGGCAGGAAGTTTTAAGTTAAGCTCCTGCAACAAAGTGTGAAAGCGGATACCAGGCGGTTTTGGTAAAGATGGTCTCAGTAAGAAAGATGTATGGTGGCCTGGTAACAAGAATGCTCGCCGAGATGGAAACACACACTTTCGCAACGATCAAGATCTCCCGTCTTCGGCTAAAGGACGGTTCTCCAGCTTCAGCCAAGAGACACTCGATGCGGCTCGAGCGATAGGCGCCGGTGCTGATGAGGATACGTGAATAGTATTTAGAGGTCGTGACGTTGAAAGTGACGCTGAGCCGTATCCAATGTGCCGTAGTCCAAAACACATCGAGTATGTGTCCCATACAACTGTGAGAGACATACGATAGGCACGCCATGAGGTACACCTAAGGTAGCGAAGTTGGTTTAATTGTGATACACATCGACTCTGTAGGTTGCGGATATATTTTCGCTATGTCAGGCTTTTGTCGAACTTCAGACCGAGAAAGGGCGCTGCATCAACTAACGGGAGTTGTTGGTCTCCAGATACAGAACTGGGTAAGATGTGTTGTCTTTGAATCACGTTCATGCTCTTATATGAACATAAAATGGTAATATCGCCAACAAAACGATATTATTTTACAGTATCTCGTACGACGGGCGCTGTGTTGTTGATTGCAATAGCAAATAGAGTGCTTTTCAGCATTGACCCTTGGGGAAATCCATTTTCCAAAGGGTGATTGGAAAATAATTTTTGCCAACGATGACTCTAAAAGATTTTGAAGAGAGAAAGTTCACAAGGAGCAAAAGGAGCCGTCCTCAGAGCAAAAGGAGCCGTCCTCAGGAGTGCAGAGCATAAGGTATGCCGTGCCTCCAGGTCATGTCACAGGCCTTCTCAAAGTCAAAGAAGGCTGCTACAAGGTGTAATAAAAACGAAATGGATATCTGCAAAGCAAGAGTGACAAAGTGATCCAGTAGTCCGAGGAGAAGCCATACTGAACTGGAAAGAACTTACCAGAACTTGTCATTGTAAAAAAAGTTGTTTTGTGAGTGCTCGTGTATCTGGTAAGTTCTTTCCTGTCATAATTTCTTAATTTTAATACTGTCCTGTAAATAATTTTAAATTTGTACCATACAATTTCAAAATTTATTTTACAGCCTGATGATGGGGACAACAATGCTTGAAACTGTTGCACGATGATTGAATAAATTAAGGTTACAAGAATTTGTCTGTCAAAAAATAAGGACCCCAACCCTTCACAAAAATATGATAAAAGTTTTTAATTGCAAGGAACCTATTAATCCTTGCCAACGCTCGTTTCCGCCCACGGACCGCGGTGGCGCAGTTATCGTTCCACCCGGGTACAGGACGTCCTGGTCGGCCCGTCGTTCTTGGTATGGCAAAGTCGGTATGATTAGAAACCGAATGAGTTGTAAAAATGTTTAAAAGTTGCAAATTCGAAAATCACATACGTACATTCCCGGTTTATTTGTCCACTTTCTTGTTACCAAGGCCACGCAGTAAGGGATTTTCTGCCGAAAATTCGCAGATTTCCGGCGCACGATTACAAATCTTTCTCTTCTTAGGAAGCGAGTGCGAGATAGTAAAAAGCGGCGCTTCATTTCTTTCTTCTATGATTTTACCAAACAGTAATATATAAAATACTTATTTCGTTTTGAATTCGAGGTCCAGCATGGGGACCCCAGACCTGGTACTGGTTTCTATGGAATTTCGCCACTGCGTGAGGGCCAAACTCCCACTGCCACGTACTACAGATCATTCCTGCTGCCCACTCTGCGTTTTCCACTGCGGAGGAAACTGCCAGGGGTTCTCAACAATGCAATACTCCTCCATGAAAATGAAACAAGCCACACTGCGACCTTTGTCCAGAACCTTTGTGCGGCGGTGGGGGTGGAAGATCCTCCTCACTCCCCTGATCTCGGTCCGCGCGACTTCGATCTCATTCCAAAAATGACAGGGAGGGCGTTCTAACAGCGCATCTGTGGTTGGGCAAAGGTGGCGCGCACAAACGCATCTCACACAGCTGATCGAATTCGGCGCCAACCTCATAGGTGGCAAAGGTGTGTGGACGCCTTGGTTGATTATTTTGAAATTATTGTTAGCTCCAGGAATAAGAATATTACCTGTAGTTTCGTTGGGTGCGTATGAAATACGATTAAGCAACGATTTCTATTTACGCATCTTTCGATGTCCCTTACCTATAGCCACTTGTACCCGGATCCCAATTTAGTGCCCGCACTGCAAAGAACATTCCAGCGACTTTCAATCGTATATCCTGATTTTGGTTTCCTATAGATTTAATGACTGATAAACGGGTCTCGGATTGTGATGACCTCAAAATTATTTGAAAATGACCTATAAAATAACTAAAAAGTAAGAGGAAAATGACAGATTTAAAAGTAAACGGAATTTGACCTATTTTGTAAAAATAAAATAAAAAAAAAATAAAAAAAGGAGGGGGGGAAATACATATCAAACATTTGTAAAAAATGTTTATTCAATAAATTTTACAATTTTAAATAAAATATATTTACATAAAATTATATTTAATATAAAGTCTTTATTTTAAGAGAAAATGTAATCCTTAGCTCTGATTATCAGTTATGAAAGGTCGACGAAGTTACCGAAAATCCGTGTAATTTTGAGTTTGAAAAACTCCACTGGGTTTACTGCAGTAGTGAATGTTGTCATTAACCAGGCGCGGATCCACGGGGAAGGAAATAAGGGAAATTTCTCCCGTTAAAAGTATTCAGTAACTATTAATTTTACCTTGTTACGAAACGTTCATCCAAAAATATTTTCATTTTTGCGCCATTTTTCAAAAATATGTAATACGACACATTTCACCAAAAGATCTTGAATTTCTCCTCCCACAATTTGTCTCTGGATCCGCACATGCATGAACTGATGATACAATAAAAACTTGTTTTAGTGTATCATTGTAAATTCATGAAACATTCACTTACAAAAAACACGAAAAGAAACATAATTCGTAAAAATGACTCAATAATTATGCATTTTTATCACCTATATGTCACAATAAACATTTATTTAAAACAGTCATGCACAAGTTAGCTACGACTAGAGTGCACCAACAAAAAGATGAAACGTCATCAGTAGGGGGCGGATTTTGATGACCTAAAACATTGCCAAAAATGATCTAAAAGCAAAGAAAAATTACTTAATTTTTTTATCAAAACCACATCAGATGAACAACTCAAGCTGTTGGATATTGTTGAGGCTGCGAAATATTCGTAAGATACGTTGAGACAGCAATTAGCAGGAATTGCAACGGGACATCGACTTTTCTATCGAAAATTTTCATCAGACAAGAGTGTTCTGGAAAAGAAACGACACACAATTGACAAAGATTGTTACTTTGGAGAAAGAATGAACGAGTATTGAAGAGATTGCCATGTTCCCTCTGTCCAGACGAAATCAAACGTTTCGTTACGATTTCCGTCGTTTGTCATGTTGGATTGCACGCCGAACCTTGAATGCATCCAACACATTTTTACTGAGCTTTCTGCACGTCGCTTCTGATGACAATGCGAGCTCGTGGCGAATACAGTGGAAATTGCTGTATTCCAACAATTTCGACAGTCCACCACATGTTTTCGCACGAGGAGCTGCCCAGGAGCTGATGCGATCTTTCTGTGACGCTCCGAACAGGAAGCAGTTGACAATCTACGTCAAGGAACTTTGTTCGAAAGAAGGGAGTATTTAGCCAACTGGGAGGCGCCAAGTTTGAAATGTATGACCTTTTCCTCTCAAATGCCTTCAAAGAGCAGCAAAACTGCACTGTTCGAAACGTGGAACCAAATTTGAATTAATTTGGCTGTCAATGTGCCAACAGATATGTTACTGATGGAATCGAGGCTTCTTTCATTTCTTACAGTGAACGCAGCTTGCAAACTTTTGGTTTTGATTGTTCTTTAGAAGAAAATATCTGCCTTTATCGTAAATCGACCGAACTGACAATGGCGCCGATAGGTGACACATGATCCTTCCATTACACAATACTCACAACGACTGGCATTACAAAACAAGAACGAAGAAATCGAATAGGCTACTCAGGGATCCTGCGGTGAACATTTGTAGCCCCTCGGAAATTGAAGCAAATACCATTAAAATATTAAAATCGATTAAAACAGCGAAAAATGCATTAAAAAGGGAAAAAATAACTTATTAGTGATTTTAAAGATTAGAGGGTCATTAATTTGTCATAACATAAAACGAATTTCAATAGTAAACGGCATCGTCCTCAAATGATAAGAAAAAAATACATTTCATTAAATTCCCCTCCCTAGTGATCCGAGCCCTACTGATAAAAAAATGGTTGTTATTACTTCTGAAATGACCCTCGTACGTGTACGAGAATGTACAAAGAACTGTTGATTTTTTAAAAATGATGTCAAAAATAAGCTCTCAAAATTAAGAAATGCAATATTAACAAATTAAAGGTAAATAATTTCTTGAAAGCACTACAAAAGACTAGGAAGAGGTATAGCCCAGAGAACTCCAGATAAAGAAATTTTAGTAGTCGGGGAAACAAAGCACCATATGAAAAAAAACATAAATTCGTTATTTCTTTGTGGAAAACTTAATTATAAACATTATGGAAACTACTTACGTTCCTGCTGAGCAATAGCTAACTGGTTACGAAGGCGAGCTACTTCACTTCTCAATGTTTGGATATGAGTACTCAAATTTGCAGCAGTGTCCCCATTGCTAATTTCTCTTGGAGAAGCAGGGTCGGACACAGGTTGATCCAATTTAATTTGGAGCATTCTGCGAGACAAAACATTTCAAATTACCATTATTTTAAAGTAGATGATACATAACAAAATTGACATTATGAAAACAAATTCAACACATTCAACAGCAGAGAAACAATTCTATTCTTTCGCTCTTTACCATTACAAATGTTTTCAGAAGATAAAATACACTACTAAATTCACTAGTAGGCCACAATAGAATATAATTTCTCGTACATATTATAATATTGTTATTATATATTATTATTATTATTATTATTATTATTATTATTGTTATAGCGTATCGATCTTTACTGAGCACGCTACACGTTCTATTCCGAGGCCCAGTCGTATTCTATCCTGAATAAATAAACGTGTGTCATTATGGCAATCAGCTTTTCGGCTGTATCCCGTGGTATGACAAGGTTGTTTTTCTATTTATTAATTATGATGTAATAGCGGATACTGCGGGATGAAGATACTGCGGGATGAAGGGACAATCGTGAATACGACCACCATGTCTGCGCAGAACTCGAACCTGCAGCCTCCTCATCGCACACAACAGCTGCCGCAACCATCTGCGCCACGGGGCCGGTTCATTATTACTATTATTATTTTTGTCTTTTCCAATTTAAACTCATTTATAACCAAAAAAAATTATATCACATACATTAGACCCACCCTAGATGTAAAATGTAATATGTAAATGGTCTATATTACCAAAAAGTCATTGAACACCTAGAAAGGGTGCAACGAAACGTCACAAACATTCACAGATTCGAACTGCAATACGAAGACGAATATCAAGAAAGGTTACTTCTCACTTTAGAACAGAAGAATCAGGGCTGATATCATAGCAATACAAAATCATGAAAGGGATCTACAAACACCACAAATTACCACCCCGTTTGCAAGACCCATGGATACCAGGCTCACTATACCAGTCTCTTATATAATTATGTAATCGTGAGCCAGAAACTCTTCAAACACAATTTTGTCAGAAAAAACCTTATTGCCGGGCCCTGGTAACGAAAAAGTGGATAAATACTTGTTGCTAAATATAGAAAATAAATTCCTCTAACTCGTGGTGTAGGCAGAATACATTTTCTTGGTTCTTGATACCGAAAAATCGTTTGACGTCCGACTAGTCAACGCTAGTGCCTAAAGCGTGTAGTCGATTTTCTTCAAAATTGATATTCCTCAATCGATCTTGTGGCTTTGGGAGTTTCAAATGAATATTTTGATTTTTGGGGTATTTTATATGAAGCCTAAAAACCATTTTCAAAATTCTCAAAAACGCACCCAATTTTGTTTGAATAGTGCCAAGGACGTTTAAGAGTGGTGCCGATCTCATTTTCATTGACTTCCCAAATTTTCAAAAATTGCAAAAATTAATCAATTAAAAAAATTAAAACTACACAATTGAAGATAGAAGTTTTTGTCTCAAATAATGTATGTTACACACAATTAGCTCTTAAAAACCTCCCATGTACACGTTTTGAGAAAATAAGTAGTATTGGCGAAATTTGCGCTTGAAATTACCGCAATTTATCAAAACTTCTCCAAATGTTTTGTTTAAATTTTCTTCCCTTTTGTAATAAAGGACGGAAACAATGTGGTGCTAGTCGCATTGTCATATATTGCTGTTTTTCGAAAATTGCAAAAAAAAGAAGAAATAATAATAATAATAATTAAACTACAAAATTGTAGATATTTTCGTCCCGGACAAATACTGTTGGACAAAATTAGCACTTTAAAAAATTGTCATGAACGCTTTTTGGAAAAAGTAGTTTTGCCGTAATTTGCGCTTGAAGTTTACAAAAAAATTCTCAAAATATTTTTATATACACAATAGGAGGAAGTATGTGCGTTGGCAGCAACACTAGTTTGAAAATATAATCTGTTAAGATTTTGTCGGTGAATCTGGAGTACTGCTAGAGACGAAGACACTTCATACCATAACAAATAACTTTCCTATTCACTGTTTTACAGGAACATTACACTGCTTATACTTCTAATTCAAGATGGCACACACTGCACATACAAATGGCATGCTTACCAAAGAATACAAAGCCACGGAAATGGCAGATACTACCAATCCATGGGAGTAAAGTTCTATTTATTCCTAACACTTCTTCTTAAATAAAACATTGTTATATATACATTTCAGTTTATGAAGCCCAACTGCTTAAAACACTGATCTGATATTTATGTTTCCAAGCACTTCAAGTGTGTCGGTTTTGGCAGAGCCTCGGCGAGAACATCTGCGGGCATATCACCAGAGGACAAGTGCTCCTTTCCCTATTTCCCCGGACTCCAAAGTTTACGAACAAAATAATGTTGAATGTTTATGTGTTTGGACCGACCATGGAATACTAGGTTGGTGGCAAATTTCTGAGTTCTCATGTTGTCGTCGCAGTTTCTTATGTCCGTCGATCCTCTCACGTCCATTTCCTCCAAGAATCGCTGAAGACAACCACCACCTTAGCGGCTTTTCCCTGAGCCATGTACTCTAACTCGGTCGAAAATGCGACAGTTCTTTGTTTTCTGGACTCCCAGAACAAGGCACCTCCATTCCAGGTAAATATGTAGCCGGTGCATGAACGCCTATCATCGAGATTTCCTCCCCTATCTGCATCTGCGTGTCCAGTGAGGTACCGAAGTACCCTTTTGGCTGCTGCCCAGTGACTCGTCCCATAGCAATCATTGTATTGGCTTAGGACACTGGCAGCATGGGATTCCGATCGGGTGGATACATCAGAGCGCCCACCTCACGATATGGCGGTTCGTCACCGACTGACTGCTTCCATTTTTCAGACTTGGTTAGTTTGTTATCTTCATCCAGTGGCGTAGTTACAGGGTTGCAGTCCAACATGAAAAAACGTCGAAGTATAGACTTCATGTACGTAGTCTGAGTGATAGAGATTCCATCTTTTTCTCTAATGAAGTGCATGCCTTGGCAATACTTTAAATAGCCCAGTTCTTTCAATCAAATCTCCGGCTCAGGTTTTCTCTGCAACTACAGATATTCTCCAAATATCGAGACATGACAAGGATATCGTCGACATACTCTACAATTATGAGTTGATGACCACTCTGCTTCTTCAAAAACTAACACAGGGATCCGAGTCAGTTGGTGATGCGCCCAAGTTGCGAAGTTCTTCGTCCAATCGTACTTGTCACACTCGTCCTGCCTGACGCAGCCCGTAGAGCGCTTTATTCATGTAACAAACCTTGTTACCCTAGGACAACTTCTCGCGCATATCTTCAGCCTCCTTCTTGGTGTCGCTGTTCTGCTCCCTCCGGGTGATCATTTCCAACATATCCACGGTATATTCTGGTACTTCCAGGACGTCGTTGAGGTACGCTGTTGATATGTCGAATTGCTGGATGTGCATATTTTACCGTACTAGAAGAGCTACAGCCAATCGAATTGATTTATTACGCGCGGCAGGCGCGAAAGTCTCCCGGAAATCCGTACCAGGATCAGGTTGAGATAAACCTCGCACCACGATTCTTGCTTTCCTCTTCTCAAGCTTACCATCGACCCCATACTTGTTGCGTAACACAACTCTGCTTCCGACGACCTCGCGATTCTCTGGCCGATCTACAACGATCCAGGTGCCGTTTTTCAAGATGGATGCCATCTCGTTCGCCATAGCTTCCATCCACTCAGCAGATTCGGCACTAGAAATGGCTTGCCTTGAGGAATTTCTGGCAAGAATGCGTATCATCCGTGCGTTTGATCCTGCTGGCCAGTAACCTTATTGTAATGTTTCCTAGGTCTGCCACCTAGGGCTGTCCTGTCTTCACTTCCCGCGCTCTTATTGGTCCTCGACTGGAGGTCGCACGTTGGACTTCTGCCGGTAAATCTTCGAGTTCGGTGCCTGACTCTTCCTCCGGCAAACTCTCTTCTGACTTCTGACCCCGTTCGGAGTCAGATTCATCGCTTTCTTCGTTCGTCGTGGAGTGCGGCGAGTCCTCCGAAGCTCCTTGCCTGTCATGATAAAGTCCGATTGGAGTCGAATCGACGTCAGTTTGCGAACGAGAACACGTCTCCGTTTTTACATACTCCAACTTCTCACAACCATCAACATCTGGACTGTTGAAGTTCTCCCCTGTGATGCAAAACGGTAACTCCACAAACTTTACATCCCGAATGACTTCTACTCGTCTCTCGCATGTGATCCACTCAGTACCCCTTGGCCTCTTCAGAATACCCAAGGAATGTACCTTCTCTCGATCGCGTTGCAAATTTGTGCTTTTTGTGGAGCGATCGAGGCAGTAAACCTTACAGCCGAATTCATGAAGCTCTTACGTCAGGTGGAACACCGAATCAAATTTCATACGGAGTCTTCCCACTTAGGCTGTTGCTTGGACTGCGGTTTCTGCTGTAGTTTGCCGTACAATCAGCCTCTGCCCAAAACGATGGAGGCGACTTGGACTGTGCAAGTGAACAACAAGCCGTTTCTTCCAGGGACCGATTCTTGCGCTTTGCAACTCCATTTTCCTCCGGATTGTGAGGTGCAGTAATTTGAGGCGCAGCAATGCAGCAATAATTACCTCCTCAATATCCTCATTTACTTCTCGGATTACTTTCATTTCAAGACATTTTCACAAAGAAAATACTTTCTCATGATTCCACTATTTAATTTCAATAGACAATATTCATTAGATTTAAATTGCATTCCTTAGAAATTATTTAAAACTTCTACTTCACATGTTTTAGTTAAATCCATAAGGATATTAAAATATATTACACTAGTGGTGCTACCGAATGGTACAGACTTTCTCGAGGTAGTTTTCTATTTTCTTTAGTCTGAGCTATCTATTTGGACTTGCCAGCTGCCATTTGCAATCTGCCCCAAGTAATTTTTTGACGGTTTCTTTATTTTTCGGTTTCCTAATGGTAGAACTGAAATATTACTTTAAGGATCTTAAAGAATAGTAATACCTTGTTCTAAATAGCAATTTTCATTGAAAAATTTAGAACATCTTTTAAGAAAATGGTGTTTAATCGTTACAGTAAATGTGAAATTTGAAGCTCTCTTGCACAGAATATTTTCGAGTTTTCGAAAAACTTTATTGGATGTCATTTGAAGCACTGTCCATCACAAACGCAATAATGTTTACAAATCGCTGGAAATTAGCATATGAACAGATTGAGATTTTTTTTTTAAATGACATTCTTGTAATTTTCGAAAATGCAAAAGAATATGCCAAAATGAATTTTATGATGTATTAAAAAGTGCAACTAGCACTATCTTTGGTAAAGTTTGAAGAAAAAAAATTGGAGCCTTTTTTGAGAAAATTGTGTTTGAGCATTTCTGAAATTGCAGAATGTTGTGCTCATTTTCACAGAAAACTGTTTTTTTTGACAGAAAAACTGTTGTTTTTTCACAGAAAACAATTTTTTTGACATTAAGGGCTCACAAAATGTTTATTCCTAATTTACTACTGTAGGAGTAAGAATTATCCACTTTCTTATATAAGGGACCATGAATAAAAGTTTTTCTATTACAAAAAAAAAAAAAAAAAAAAAAAAAAAAAAAAAAAAAAAAAAAAAAAAAACTTCTTTTGCAATAGCACAACAATACTTTCAATTATTAAGCAAGTATGTGGAAGGCGAGGTATTAAAAAAGCATGTTTGATTGTTTTTTATTTTTAAGGGAGTCCATTTTTGTCCATACTTTCAAAGCCCAAAAGTATATTCAATACAAATTGATGTGACAAAAGTTTGTAGAGAGCATTGACATTCGTTTTTAAAAAACAAAATCATTTTTCATTACAATGGTGGGGATAAGTAAATTTTTTTATCTTTTAGTATGTAATCAACTTTAAGTAATATTGCATTGACCAACTAATATTGCATATTCATGGATTTACACTACCTCAAAGATAAAAGATTTATTACAAATTAAGAAATGATTCTCACCTTTTTTCTGCTTCCAATTTGTCCATGCGTTTCCACAATTTATTCACCAAAGCTTCCTGTTCTTGTTCTAAAGTGTTCTCTAATTCTACTTTTTCACGTCGAAGTTGTTCCAGGTTGCTTTGTTTGGCCAGAGTCTCTGCTTCCAATTTTTCTATCTTTCTCATTAATTTGTTTACTAAACATTCCTGTTCCTGTTCTAAAGTTTGCTCTAAGCGGCATTTCTCCTGACGAAGCTAACAAAAAAAATGAAAAACATTAACTATTGTTAACTACTTTTAACATTTGCAAAGAGAATACAAAGAATGGTTTAAGAAGAACATGAAAGCGTGGAAGTACAGATTATTATAAGGAAAAACAGAGTAATCTTCATAATGAAAACAGCTATGAAATTTTTGAAAATTCAGAGTTCAATAAAAATCAGCCTCGACAATATTAATAAGCACACTTTGCAAAACACATCAAAAAAATAAAATAAAATAAAATAAAAAAAATACATAAATAAATAATAAAAATAATTAAAAACAAAATTTGGGGCGATTTGTAAAAAAATTACTTTTATTTCATGTCAAGTTACATGAACACAATTTGTACTCTGAAAAAATTGTATATATTTTTATTAAAGACATTTTTGAATAATAAAAATAACAAAAACAATATTTAATAATAATTATTATTACTATTACGAAAAATATGTCTTTAATATTCCAGTTGTAGAGAAACTCTGAAAAAATGTTTATACTTTTCCAATGAAAATCAGATGTGTCATTTTTATATGCATACTCTGTTTCAGGAAAAGCTTAAAGAAAAAAAAATGTGGGCTAATTTTGAAAAAAATTTGGAAAGGTCATTTGTGTTTCATAAGAAATGCCCTCAAAATCAAATTCCAAATCAAGGGGCCAAGATATCAGCCAGAATGATAAGAGCTATTATTGAATTGAAAATCACTGTTCAATAAGGGTCAATTTTCTTATATGCCGATATGTTTTCCTAAAAGTTTTGGGGTTGAGAAATTAAATTATGAAATTAGAATTTGCTGATAAACAAGAATACCTTTTAATTATTCAAAAAAGTTGTCTAGTTTAACCTTATAAAAAAAAAATGGAAATGTCCTGGAGTCCCAGACTGATAATGTGCTTTTTAACATTGTTTAGGATGTTAAGATTGCAGCATGTCTATCCATCTATGAACTACACTAGTGCTAAAAGTCTTTGAAGGATTTTTTCCAAGATTAATATTCCCTGATCAATCTGATTTGAGCCGAAGCCGAGGGAATTTGAAAATAATTCTTATATTTTAGAGGTACTCTACATAAAGCCCCAAGGACATTTCAAAGTTTTCACATATTTGGCTACACATTTTTTTGCTAGCATAGGATAAAGTTAGATGATCCTGTTCCGATTTTTCCAGTTATCTCTGAATTTTTGAAAATGGTAAAAGTTAAAAATTGTTTGGACCAATTCATATGACTATAATATTGAAGAGAAATGTTTCTTATAATTAAATTTGCTGAACACAATTAGTTCTTAAACTTAGTAAATTATTTAATTAAGCTTATTAATTATTAAAGCTTATTATTATGTAAATTAATTAATAAAGCTTGTAAGGAGTTCTTGGTAAACAGGAACATAACCCCCTTCTGTCCAAATTACCTACTCAAAAATTACTAAAGAATATATAATTTTTTGAAACACATTGTGCTCAAATTAGTAAAATACAATCAGCATAAGTGGGAAATTTGTGAAGAATTTGAAAGGAGTTTCTCAGGAGGTAGGTACGCAAAACAGAGACAACAAATATGGACATTTTCTGGGTGAATGGGATACCCACAATATAAATTCACATTACAAAAGTAACATTCGGCCTTAACATGAATGAAAAATGGAAGAAAAAAATTAACAAAAAGATAAAATGTTTGCCAATGATGACATCTAGCTACCTCCACTTCACACCAAACTAGGTCTTAAAATAATAAATAAACAAATAAATTATTTTTTAAAATCACAAATCCATTTGTAAATAGGTTTATGTTTTGGGTTTTGTTATGTTAAATACACTTTATAATTAGGGGACGGAATGACCTAAAAATTGCCTTAAACGACCAATAAAATGGTCTTATATGCTTTAAAAATGCCCTAAAAACAAAGAAACATGACAAAAATGTGATCAAAACCACTTCAGATGAATGCCTCAAGCTGATGAGTATGTTACTGATGTAATCGAGGCTTCTTCCTATTGTTTAAGTGAATGCAGCTTGCAAACTTTTGGTTTGGACTGTTCTTTAAAACAAAACTCTGCCTTTATTTATTGCAAAATCGGCCAAACTGAGAATGGCACCGATAAGCATCACAGGAACATTACATTGATTACATTGTACTCACAATGGCTGACATTACAATATATGAGCCAAGAAATTAAATATGCAGTCTCAAGACTTCTGTGGTGCACATTTGCTGCTCCTCATAAATATTGTTTGAAGCAAGCACCATTAAAATGATATTAAAATTGATGAAATCAGCAAAATATGCATTAAAAATGAAGCAAAAATGATTTATTAATAGAAATCGACAAAAAATTTAAAAATATAATTTATAAAAATGGGTTATTACATTTTGTCTTTATATAAAATGAATTTCTATAGTAAACGTCATTGTTCTAAAGTGAAAAGAAGAAAAAAATGCCATTTCATTACAATCCGCCCTCTATTTATAACACAGTAAATCATTTGTTTGCATCACTATATTGTATTAAAACACCATTTTCTGTTCCTTAAAAATATTTACACAACACCAGATTTTATCCAAAAATTTAATGATCTTAAATGTATATAAATCTGTAACTCTGTATATAAATCCTTCATGGTAAATTTTCTGGGTTTGACAGCATTGAATGTCAAGTAATGTGACTGACAATAAAGAAACTAAAACAAGATTGTTTAAACAGTTGTTCAGAAGTCATAAATTATCAAAATTTTCTACAAGGATTTGGTTGCATGAATTATCAGTTTTCTGATGTTTGGTTCTCCAGTTGAAAATTTCAACCAAACGTCTTGTTCCAAATTGAGTTTGAAGTGGAAGTGTGAACATTTGAAAGTGGTAGTTATTTTTTAAATGTTCTGTTTCTCAAATGCCCAAGAAAACTTTCTCACAAAGAATTCAACTATCTTCACAAAAAAAAAAAAAAAAAAAAAAAAAAAAAAAAAAAAAAAAAAAAGTTTCATTCACCCATAAAAGGCTCTTACGAGCATACCTTCAATAACTTTAGTAGGAATAAATACAGTACAAATCAAAGCAACAACCCAAAACTTTTAAAAACACTTCAATGGTTTCAAAATTGAAACTACTTTATCAGTGAATATATGGTTGGTACCATAACCAAATGAAATGGTCTTAAAATGATCTACATGATTTTGAGCAAATTGTTAAACTTGTTCACATTGTGAGAAGTGACTCAATATAAACAGATGGCAGATTAAAATTTTTTTTTAAGTACTATTCAAAAATGAGATTTTCTCTTTGGTCTGTAAAATGCCACAAACTAATAACGAATGATTTCTTTTTATCCCTTCAAAATTATGGCTAAGAATTTCTATAGAAACTGAACAGCTCTTTTAATCCCACAAGTTGGTAATTTAGAGTCCACATCGAAATAGGAGATCTTAGGATTTTAGATAGTTTTGGATGGGTCCACTACTGCTTTCTGTCACCATGCCTCAAAATTCTGAAGAAAGGTATGGTCCTAGTAAATTTAAGAGTTTCTCACAAATTTGGAGAAAGTCAACTTCTTCAGATACATTTCTTGTACAATTAATATGAGAACATATTTTATTCAGGAGTACTCTTAAGTAATTCATCAGTAATGTCTAGAATAAAAGCTAAAATATACTTTTTTACAATATTAATAAAAGTTTAATTGAAAATAATGTTTTTTTGTGATCAATGCAGTTAGAAAGGTGAGTTCTTCTTTAATATATTAATGCCAACATTCTGTTATAGGAAAAAAACAACAAAAAAACCTATTTTAATTTTTTTGGTGTTGGGTGTGAAAGGGATTTCCAAAAACCTCGAATTATTATTATTATTATTATTATTATTATTATTATTATTATTATTATTATTATATATCATTTATTTCTGTAGTACGATTTATTTAGTCATTCACACAACATATCAGCTGATGCAGTGATGTCACTGTGGGACATTCAAGATCCCGATTGGAAGAAATCGTGAACAGCTGATTTACTGCAAGTGCACAGTTATATAAATCCTAGTATAAATTATTTAAAAAAGTACAGAAAAATTATTTGGAACAGTTTCAAAATCAAAACATACATTATGTTATTAAAAACTGAAATACTTTATACATAGAAACCAGAAGCTGTTTGAAATGGCACTGGTATTAATACATACAGCAGTTGCACAAGCAATAACAAAAGATGTAAGGTTCAACAGAATTGCAAATAATCAGGAAATGGGGTAAATTGAAGTGGTGGGATGGAAAAATAGCTTGTGGAATGAAGGTCTGTAAGATTTTATCCAACAAGATTTTTTAACTTCAGAAACATCACACAAAACTGTGGCATAAAAAAATACTTTTTTTTAAGTATGCAAAAAAGAACAAAGTGCACATATTTAGCAGTTTTATTAAACTATATGACTCCAATAACTAACTGTATAAGTGGATTTAGAGCATTTTTTTTTGTGCAGTAATAGTTTGGATTCTTCCCCCTCACCCCCCTTCAATGTTAATATAACATTATTACACTCTCTTTAAAAAACACTATAGTAAAATATTTATCTAACAACACATCTGAAATGTAAACCACAAATTTATCTAATCATTCAATAACAACCTAGTAAAAAAGAATACCAATCACTTTTCTAACAGAAACTAAATTTTTTTTCTGAGAAATATGAATGAAAATATTCAGTGAAAACATTCTAAATGAATTTTAAATTACAATCCAAAGAAAAAATGCTAATAAATGCTTAGGAATAGTCTTATTTGCGTGAAATAACTATATTGTATCAGCTTCATAATGTTAGAAATAACATTCAATACAATACATAAAGTTACAGAACTACAATTTGGGGGAAAAAAAAACTTTTACTCATGTACATATATAATAATTTTATTTCTATTATGATTTTCATATGTTCAATGAAAGTTCAGCTTTTCAGCTTTCTCTGAAGTTCTAACAATCCTTTACTTTTTAACATTACTTCTATTTCAATAGAAGGAAAGTTCAATCTTCTGGAATTGAAGTATTTGTTTATTATTTGACAAGTGTCTCCGTACAATTTCTCTTTTTTAGAAATGCTAGAGGAAAATCACCCGTTGTATTGAGAGATCTAGTATTAGGAGTACACATTAATAATTATGCCAATTTCTGAAAACTTTTGAACAGATTATCAGTTAATATCCTGGGAAAAAATACAATGGGCCCATGTATTTCAAAGATTTATCTGCATAACAAACTTCTCATTCTATTTACCTGGTTCAATTTCCTTGATAAATCATTTGTTAAACACTCCTCTTCTTGTTCATAATGATGAGCCAAAGTCTCCTTTTCTTTCTTCAATGCCTGGATTTTTTTGAGCAAAGTGTTACTAATAAATTCTTCTTCTTGTTCAGCCTTTGCTTGCTGAAACAATGAGAGAGCATTCCCATGTGATTGACATACCTACTCCACATTTTCTCTCCTTCAAGTAGCAGATCTAGGTCTTCACTCTCTTACTCCCCTCTTTATCTCAAGATACCAATTAGAATAATATTTCAAGAAAATACGTCAGGTGTCACGAAATAACTTACTATTATCACAGATGCTTGACGTAACCCTCTGTTCTCCTCTTGTAATGCTTTTACACGCAACTTGTACGTTTCAAGTTCTACTTTCAATACTCTATTCTGCTGCTGCAGTGATTCTATTCTTTTTTGTAATTGTTCTCGAGTAACAGGCGAGGGAGGCATCATTATTGGGCCCCCATCAATGGAGCTTGAATCGCTCTCACTCGCACTATCCGCCATATTTTCTTATTCCCAACGTGGGATTTGATTCTGAAAGCACGAAATATTCACATGTACACTACTCTATCTTAATGGGCATCAACATTTTTTTCTTCCGGAAACAGAACCTAATATTCATTGTCCTACCTCTTCTAATGGATGATGACAATTTTATTCCCACTATTCAAGTATACTTGTCGGCTTTTAACACACGGAAATTTTGACGTTCGTCAACTATCAGTATGTTTTAGTCCATGCCTTCGCCCGCCTTCGGCGATTCTGTCGACATCTACACGTCATTCGTGGGACCTACTTTTTAGCGGAGAATATGACAATCGTCACGTGAATCCACATTATTCCTATTCATAATTTATAAATGGGACCTAAGCAAACTTCCGCAAAAAGATTAATGAATTACTAAAACATAGTACACCACTCTGATCTTTCTAAGATGTCGGACAACATGGAGACGCCAATAAGTTCAAACGAAACCATGATTAGTCAAGCATTACGCCCTACGAAATATGTAATATTTGCTAAAGTGTTTGTACTTTCTCGTCCTTACTTCGTAAGAAAAAGTAAATTAATCGTGGGCCGGAAAACAGCGAATTTTCAACAGAAAAACTCTTCTTCCGGGCCTTGTAACGAAAATGTAGATACATTTTGTTCTCACTTATAGAAAATTACTTTCTCGAACATGTGTAGTCAGAATCCAAGTTTTGTGAATACATACCGAATTCCAAATTCGACTGACGCAAAACATCTGTCTGTGGTCTACTCAAGCTCTTAACCTGTTCAGCTGATTTTCTCCAAAATTGATATACCCCGATCGATTTGTATGAACTTGTCGCCCTTTGAGTTTAAAATTAATATTGTAATTATGGAGGGTACTTTTTACAAGGCTTCAATATGTTCAATTTTTTTGTGGAAAAATGACTCCAAATATTTTTAATAAAATTGGTTCTCGGAACGCGTTTATGACACCTACGAAAATAGTGGAGGTTTAATTTTCGTTAAAATTCCTGATTTGTCAAAAATTTTCAAAGTTCATTTTTTTCTGCGCCTTTTTGTGGAAGATATAACTGATTTATATTAGAGGTCTATATATAGATATAGATACACATTATAGGTAGATGCAAGATAGATTTTTTCCCTTAATGAAATTTGTTCTTTAAAAACAGATTTTGAATTATAGTCGTGTACAATTTTTCGAAAATATAAGTAGTTTTCGCGTAATTTTTTGTGAACTATAGGGAATTTTAATTTTTTAAAGGTTTTTCCCCCCTAGAAAACGCTTCTAGATTCCTTCTTTACATTTCTCCATGTATCTGTTAAAAACAGTAAAAAAAATATGGTGATAGTCTTATTTTTGGCGAACTCTCTATATCGGTGGCGTAGCTTGAGTTGAGGCAGGTTGACCCGAGGAAAACTAATGGTGTAACACCTCTAAATTATATGTAAAAATACGTTACTGAATAGTTGATACACTATTTAAGAAAATGCGAGTAAATGTACACATAATATTTATTTATAATATGTTAAAAAGCTGTATGTAATTCAATTGAATAATTAAAATGTAATTTTTAAATAAATAACCATATAATTCCAACTATAAAATTGTCTAATTAGTGTCATCCCTAAAATAGTTTCAGCCGGAGCAGACCGCCCACCTGACCCCACCACCCAACCACGCAACTGATCTCTATTTTCGAAAATTGTACAATTTTAACATTTAAAAACTACAAAATTGAAGAAAGAGATTTTTGCTTCACACAAAATCTGTTCTGAAAATCACATCTTTAAAGAAGTCATGTACATTTTTACTTTCTCGCTACCACCACCTTGGTAGAGTCAAAGGTATGTAATGCTGCGCGAAAAACGGCAGAAAAACTCTTATTACAGCGCCTTGAAAGAAAGAAAGAAAGAAAGAAAGAAAGAAAGAAAGAAAGAAAGAAGAAGAAAGAAAGAAAGCCTTAAGAAAATGGTGTAGGTCTCAATTTCGTTAAAAATCCTACTTTTTCGAAGTCCTACTTTTTTGAAAAACATCAGAATTTTGTAGGTGAGCTCCTACCCAATTACAATTGGTGCGGATAAACCCTAAATCGTTCCGAAATAGTAGTTTATGCATTAGTTTTTAATATAAGCTTTATTGCACTAATAATCTGTTTTGAAAACGGCGACGCTAAGGAACGAGTTTTTAAATTTTAACGAATGTAATAAAGCAGCATCAAACGAGCTTCATACGTTATTTTTTGTATCAAAACATTAAAATCTATAAGAGAAATCAAACATTAATTTGCGAAATAACGTTATTGTGACGTCTCGGGTACTGACGACTGTGCCAGAAAACGGTGGTCCGGCTGTTTACCTTTACCTCCCCACGATTCTTCGCTGCAATTGGCTGAATGTGTGATGACGCAATCATTCGTGCCGTAAAATCTAATACATTATTTGTTGTGTAAAATGCCCGATTAGAAACGATTTCTTGCTATAGAAATAGTCGTTTATAAAGTCTGTTTGACATGATCATTTATCGACGGTACAGAAAAGGGACGGGCCAGATTGGATGTAATTTGTACGAACAAATAACGCACTCTTCACTTTTCGGTATAGATTTCATTCAGTTTGACTACCGCACTCCTAGCGTCACATTTGGGAATTTTCTTTGGTTTATATAATATCGTAGGCTTTCACGGCCGGAGTCAATAGAAAGTAGATTTTCCGGGCTGGTAGGCCGTGGTCCAGTTGGCATTGTTGGGCCAAACGTTTCGTCCACGTCTGCGGTGGACATCTTCAGTGGCGGCAGGCTCGCGGGCGCAGTGTTCTGGGCGGCGGCTGGCAGGCGACTCTTTCTTTGGTTTGTTATGCTTCTGGTGCGATTTGTTCCTTTTGAACACTTTCGAGCGCGTTCCTATGAGTTGAATTGCAATGTGAAGGGATTATGTAGTGAGAAATGAATTATGTACTAAGTTCTAATGTCATTGCGTTCGGTACTCAGTCCTAATCAACAAGGTAGAATTACTATATAAAGTGTCTATCCCTACAGTTTCAGCGCTCTTCGTGGAGGCTCACCAAACTAGTGGCCGCCAAAACATACAAATGACGGTGTAACCAATGCCACCTAGAATACAGAAGTTCTCCAGCTAACACTGGTGTACAAAAATAATAGTTATGCAAATAATGTATAATGTTAAGCTTTATTGCATCAATATATGCTTTGAAAACGAGCGACGTTACGAGCGAGTTTTTAAATTTGTACGAATACAGTAAAGCAACATTACAAACGAGATGCATATTCTCTTTTTATAACATCATTATAAATTTATGAGATAATCAAACTTTATTTTGCGAAACAACTTTCTTGTGACGCCTCGGGTATTTAATAACTGCGCGATAAAACGGTGGTCAGCTGTTCCGTTTACTGCTAGCTCCCCACAACTCTTTCGCTGCGATTGGCTGAATGTGTGATAACGCAATCATTCATGTCGGAAATGCTAATACGCGATCTATGCCGTAAAATGCCCTTTTATGAAACACTTCTTGCTACAGAAAAGGTCATTTATAATGCTGGTATGCAAAAAAAGACTTTTCATCATGCAAAAAGAATGTCGTCTTGAAAGGGTGGCTTAAAGTCCGCCTGCGTGCGGTGCGACAAACAATTTTTCTAAAAAGTATTAGAAAAATACACTCTGTGAAAAGTTATTAACGGCGAACATACTTCATCTACGTAGTTGTAGGATGGCGTCGAAAAGTTACACTTGTTGGTATTTCAGGTTCAGAAAATCGCACAAGCACCATTTTCATGTGTGTATGATGAGCAATTTATGAGTTGACGCGGCGGTGCACCAGGGCCCTATAACTCCCATATAACCTGGTGGAGACCATTATAGTAGCGCGCTCTAGAACATCACCTTGCACAAATTAAAATACGAACTGCTACCAACGTTATTCAAAACGTGCGTGGGCTCTCGGGACGCAAACATTAGCGCTTGATAAAAAAGATCGCGCTACCTTTTCTTTCATGCGTGTTATGAACCATTATTATGAATAAATTAATTTTGAAGATAAACACATAGTATTTAACTTCTTTTGTAATTCATTTTAGAAATCGTTCATAATCAAAGTGTATCTTTTTATATTATTTGACCTTTAATCGCTTTTCTATACCTTTAATTGGTATCGGCGGTCTGTGATACCGCTCACGCTTAATTCCTATAATACAATGTATTATTTAACTACATTGAACTTAACTGCTTGTCTACAAATTGATATTTGTTTTATCAAGGTTTATGGTGATGCAAAACTTTTTGTTCGAGTTCCGATGATGGGAGGATATTTAACAAGGAGTCACAACGCACACATTGGGTAAACGGAGAAAGGCTCGTCGAAAGCGAATGAGGCAATGGGGCGAAGCGAGAACAAGTAAAGAGGAAAATCACGATTTGAATTGAACTGATGCCTTATTTTACGTGGCGAGACTCAGGCCATGAGGCCTGTTCTTCCGTCTGACCACGTTAATTTCGCTCCGCCTCCTTCACCAACAGTTGAGAAAGGAAGCATTTCTTGGGCGAGAAACAGGATATTTGAGTTTAGCTCAGAGGCGTCATTTAGGATCTTTTACATGCAAGTAAATCTACTAACAAGGAACAGCCGGCTTTACTTGCCCTCCGAAGGCAAGCGTACGAAGGAATTTTTCGCCCTTAAAACTCCACGGCTTCGATCGGGTTTGAACCCGCCAACTTGGGTACAGCAATCCGATACGCTAATCGTTACACCATCGCCGCACGCCGAACGACGGTTTGGGTGACACAATATTAAAAGACGGCCAATTGTGGTGGATATTCAATTTATATTACTATAGTGCCTCTGGACGGGTTCTAGGGTTCGAGATCTGACAGTGACTGGATTTTTGACACTAACTAGACAGCTAGGTCGAATTTACGAAGTTGGAACAGGTCTTTTATACAGGTCACCTATGTACTTCTACCAGGTCGCCTGTAAAGTGATATTGCAAAAATATTCTCTATAATTACTGATTATCTCGTTGCTTTGGTATCACTAGGTGAAAAATACTTACGAAATTGGTATCGGTGGTATCTATACGGCACTACACCAAAAAGTTACAGAATTCTTGAACGAAACCGCCGTTGAAGCGCTTATTTTGTGCAAATATAGACCCACACTAACAAGAAAGATACTGAGCCGCTGGCTATATAAACAACAATCAGAGATTGCTACATAAGTGTTAACTTGCTGGTGTGGTAAGTCACACCGACACCAATTGAAGGTTAAGTTACTAATAGTACTTGTGTGTGCTTTACACTTTTATGAAGGCGGCCCGGGTAAAAATGTTGTGGACGAGCCCGCACTCATTTCATTACGCTTCTGATGTATACCTTTAAGAAATAAACCAAACAGTTCGAAATTATATGGTTATCTTAATAAACCCGATCCTACAAATGGGGCTCAGCCGGGAGCGTGCGAATGAAAAAAGAAGCGTCGTGTTGCGAAATGGAGGGTAGAGGTCTTGTGTAGTTCCAATCAAAACAATGTAGGTGAATTGTGAAGTTGGTCAATTCGTAAAAGTGAACAGTGATACTAATAAGTTGAAACAGGTTTCATCAAGATGACCAGTAGCGAGGAGAGGAAGAATCGAAGAACACAAAAGAAAGATGAAGCAGTTGATGGAGGCTGTAGGAGCATTCGACATAGGTCTATCAAATAGGTGTGTGTGTGTGTGTGTGAAAAAGATGCTGATAGAACGCTACAAGATGCAGATGTGATACAGGAAAAGGCGGCGCAAATCGAACGCGCGAAGTTAAAATCCAGGACGATGAGGAATGGTCGTCTAAAGAGGACAACGTTGATAACAGATATCGGCCTCGAACGAAAAACAAAGAGATACAGAAGGAAGACAGCGAGTTGAGCTACTCGAGCGATCGGCAGTAACTGTGATTGGCAACTTAGATAGGGAAACGAAATCGTGGAGCATATGAACAAGACAGTCGGAACAAAATGCCCGACATTACTATCGCGAACAGCGTCGCAGTCGTCGACGGGAGTACAACCTCGGTGACGACGAACGAAGACAGATGCCGCACAGCGTGTTCACCATAAGAGATGCTGAAGGGAGTCTATTGCTTCTCCGGGGATGACGGAAAGTTGCCAAATAATGGATCCGCGAGTTTGAGGACGTCTGCAAGCTCCTGCAATGAAATGATACACAAAAAGTGATCTATGCGAAGAGTATGTTGGAGAGTCCGCAAAGGAATTTATGTCATCGCAAAAGACATTGAAATGCCTTCAGTAATGCATTGTATCAGGAGTTCGCCATCAGAATCAACTCTGCAGTGATCCATAACCAGTTGTGTCAACACAGACAGGTAGCCAACGAAACAGGGCAACAAAATGTATACTCAGTGATCGAGATAGCGCACCAGGGGAAAATTGAAGAAGAAACTTTGATTGTGTGATTACATCATAGAGGAAAAACAAACTGCCAGCCATAAACGGTGTTTTAATTGTGGATCTAAAGATCATGAGAGATCCGGGTGTCCGTACGAGGAACTGAAATGCTTCAAATGCAACAGATTCGAGTATACTTCTGGCAGATGCTCAGAGAAAGGGGAGGTAAGTTCTATCCAGTCGAGCGACAACAAATATCGTTCTCTTTCTATCTTTATAAATGGAGAGGAGTATCGTGTACTGATGGACACAAAGTGATATCAACCTGAAGCGGTGAGACGTATACAAGAAATTATTAGATCCATTTCAAGATGACACGATTATTTAAGGGGTTGGGAAACGCCACAGTGAAACCCAAGGGGATGTCAGATTGGAAGGTCGACATTGGTCGTTTCGGCGAAAATCATGAATGCGGAATTCAACTTGACTGACTGCGGAATTCAACTGACGCTCCTGAACCTTCTAAAAGTCGCACACACACACACACACACACGCATGTATAACAAATCAGAGGAGATCACCGGAGCACAGGCGAGCTGAATAACCTATCGAAACAGCGCTATCTGTTAGTTGCTACCTGCAGCGCGACGGCGGCGAACTTCTAGATCATGAAAGACGCGGAAGGGTTCGTCGTGTCGTCGCGCTACCTATTAAATAGCGGAGCAGCTGAATGTTCGCCCTTCTTCCTGTACGAGACGCCGAGGTGAGAGGTCCACTGCGGTAGTAATTAGAGCAGCCTTTTGATGAGAGACGTCGAAGAGTTCGGACGTGCCTGGAGAGGTACGGTGCGAAGTAATTGATCATGAAAAGAATACTGAGGTAGCGGAAGATTCTGCCTTCTGAACTGTGATTAACTAGGAGAAGTTTAATTTCATATACTGTGGAAAGTAGTGGAGTAGCTAGTACGAGGCGGAAAAGTGGCCGCGAAAGCAAGAACTATGATCTTTGCGAGCCGTCAGTAGAACTGTGCAGTTAGCTAAACTAGTGAGAAGTGTTGTAAAGAACGCCAGAACACTGATAAGCCGTTAGCAAACACGCGTAAGGACTTTTGAAATACGCGTGGCGTGTCGCATAGGAAGAGCGGCGAAGAAAGAAGAAGAGTCGAGGATTCTGGTGCCGAGCTTGGCCAAGAGGCAAGACAAACATAAACCCATATGCCATGCCCCTTTGTCTTCCTCACCTTGAGCATGATACTAGGTGAAGGTAGAATAAGTGATGGTCAGATAGATGTTGGTGATTCTGTAACTATACCAGCATGCCACACACAAGACACAATGCCCCAAGCCCCTGCATCAGCCACCAGGCCTCCAAGAAAATAAGGATGATGGTTGAAAGGTGATACATGGGGGTTGGGAAAGCAGTTACAATACATCCATGCCCAAGACAAGATCAAACTGACATTCTTTGTTTTGAGACTGCTTAAGCATGCCCACCTTAATGATCTCCCATCCAAGTCATATTTCTCAGAAAACACTGTTTAATATTTACATACAAGTGTGCATTAACAACTCTTGGTTCTAGTATTTCAGAGGTAATTTAAAAAAAGAAAATTTGAATTGCTTTATCAATTTCACTAGTGTTTAAAAATTACATGTGTATTAAATAATTTTTCAACAGCAGAATTATTTCAGATGAACTGTACAGAAATAATTTCAGCATTTACATTTCACAAAGTATAATTCAAAGTCAGACCAATGACATTTATTTCACAATCCATAACAGATGCATTATTTAATAGGGCAATTCTTCAAGGTTTTAGATAATATTTTTCCTGAATTGGTGAAAAGAGAATTATTTTGCCACACAGCTTCACAACTTGAATTTGTCTTCAAATCAACCTGTAACAGAAGTGTGCCATCAATTTATGTTTAAATAAAATATTTTAAAAAAGGAATACAACATACAAAAAAATTTGAAAGTTTGTCTGTTGTGAAATTTTCTAAATTGTAGTATCTTAAGATTATAGACAACCAAAACAGGATATGTCTATTAAAAATCATTTAAACAGTGAAACAGCGTATTATATTTGTGTGATCTAATGTATTTAATTCATCAGGTACTTAACAATCTTTTCCTAAAATCCACATTGAAATCCAAATGAAATAAGTATCTGGAGGAATGTAGATCTAAGTCAATTTGATAAAATCAATCTGGATGGTTAATAAATATTTAGTTCAATCATGTAGTAATGTTAAGTCTGGTTCAAATACCGCAGAGTGTATAGGTAGCATCTACCATTGAGTGCCATGGTCTCTTCTGTATCAATTTGAGATAAAGGGTGGATCACGGAGAAGACGTGTGGAAAGTGTCAGTGAGCGATGTGAAGGGATCACATCTTGTTACAATTAATGAAGTATCCCCAAATTTACTGTTTTACTCATTTTGAAATTCATTATAAAAGACATAGGTATACAAAAAGATTCCCTAAATAAATTACCTGCAGTTTCTCCCACACTTTCTTTTTGGGATTTAATGTATCATCTGGTGTTCCTGTTTCATAACCTTCAACCATCACCCGATCACCAGGCACTGCATCCTTTGGAGGAAGCAATGGCTCAACCGCTTTTGGCTCATCTCTAAAAATACAATAAACCAGTTTAAGCATGTGAAAGGATTCAATTATTCCTGAGACCAAGTTATAAGTGAGGTTTATTATAACAAAGTTAATTTTATTATACTAGCAACTAACATTCTGATTAAACCTTGCAGAAAAATTATCGGCATAAATGAAATACTCTAATGACAAGTTTTCTTTATAAAAGACAAATTTAGTTTGTCATTTTAATAATATATTATAGACAAAAAAGAACTTACTGTGAAGCACATAACACCATTCCTGAAGATTCTATGCCTCTCATTTTTGCAGGTTTAAGGTTGCAAAGCACAACAACCATTCGATTTTGCATTTCCTCCAAAGGAATATAATTCACTAAACCACTTACTACAGTTCGTGGCTCATTTTCTCCTGAGAGGAACACAACAAAATCATCAGCCATACTCTCACAGATTGTAATTAAATCATTTAATGTAATTTTTTAGTAATTGCATTAACGCCAAGAAGAAACTAATACTACTACTAGTTTTTTCCAAATATTGTACTTGACCTTTTTTAAGATGTTTACTTTTTGAAGTTTTTGAAACTACAGTGTGTTTACTAAACATTGAACCATCACCAAGTTTTTGACCATTTAAGAGTTGCTTAGGCAATCTGAGGTGATCTGAAGATGAAGTTTAATTAAAAAATTTGGACCCATTTTTGAGGAAATTTTGAATATGATGTTTAGCCTTCTTCTCAAGTACCACCAAAATTCAAAATATCCATTTAAAACTAGAAGGGCCTCGAGTTTGTTTTGATCAATTACGAAATATCAATTTTTAAGAAAATCGTCTGAATAGTTGAGGCACTAGTGTTGATCACAGACAGACAAATAGAGACAGACTGACTAACAAATAGAACATGGATGGACTGGTCCTCTGTTGAGGCGAATAACCATCCATCGGATGGACTTATTTATTTGGTATTTAAGTTTACTTGATCGGTATTTTTACATTATATAGGAACAAAATTTAACCACTTTTCCATTACTAGGGCCTGATAATCAGAGCTTTTTTGTGAAAAAATTGGTGTTTTCCCATACACAATCACAGTACTTTCTGTTCTTAAGCAGTAACGTAAGAAAATAAAATCAACAATTCTATAAAATACAGGGAATCTGTATAAAGTATACGAGACAATTACAAGTTGCTTATGAGTAAGTTTACAAACCAAGATCAATTTTCTCGACATAGAGAGCATCTGCATCAGGATGCTGAGATACTTCAACAATCTTCCCAACTCGGATATCAAGGCGATGAGGAGCTACTTCATCTACTACTGTCTCTGCAATGAGATGGAGAAAAAATTATCTTGTGTATTAAAATTTTGGGAAGATGATAACTGATTCAACTGATTTTAAATCAAATTATTTTTTTAAAATAACAGTTAAAATAAAAAATTAACCTTTCAACAAAATTTCCCTTAAATGCCAATTTACCCTTTTACTGCCTGTCATCAGTTTCATTAAGTAAGTACATAAATTAATTACTTACTATAAACATTTTTGAATGAATACTTATTATTTCACTTACTGAACATTTGGAAAACAGAACAGTTTTGGAGAACTATAACTCATAACATAATAAAACCATATACACAATGTTTAAGAAAAATGCACAAATACAGAAGGTAGGTGGAGAGGGTCAAGGAAAACAGCTATCATCAATAAACCGTGGGACTAAAGGCAGAACTTCAGGCTGAAAGGCAGAACTTCAAGCTGTAAAAATTTGTGTAGAAGTTTGAAGCTGAAATCTTTCAAGTACATTAATACCCCTCTTCCTCTAAAATGTGATGCTCTTTCGCAACTCCCCATCTGCCTTCCCATTGAAACAGTGACTTTTCCTAAGACTTGAGTGGGTGTTGGTTTGGTTTGCTTGGCCTGTGCTGACAGTGCCCTGCTTCCCTTGACATTTCATTTGAAACATTCAGTATTCAAGTTCGCAAAATCCTCCACTGGAAAGTAAACGTTTCGCCTGAGTTGTAAATTTACTAAATTAACTAACAATGAAAAAAGCATTGAAAAAATGTTTTATTGAAAATCTATTTTTAAAAACAGCTAAAAGGGTCTTTTTAAAAAACTTTACAAAATTGTTTTTATTTGCCTTTAATAATGACAAAAAATGTAATACATTGTATTATGGTTTGCTAGCATGGTTCACTTCATTTAATCAATTAATATTCCCTTAAAGAAACGATTAATAAATATTGTTTTTCTTACAATTAACTGAAACAGTTTTATACCAACACTACTTACTATTCTGTGGAGGATAAGCCATTTGAGCAAGTTTTTTCAATTCGGGTTGCTCAAAGGCTTTGCGAATAGGATCCAGCAAACGATTGAGATAAAATTCAACACCATTTTTTAAGTCTCCAGGATGAATTTCTTCTTTACCAAATGCTGTTTCTAAGCTCAAATAGGAGGTAAATGAAATGTTTCCACCATGTGCTTCGGCTCTTGGTACTACAAAATCTAGGAGTAAAACAAACACCATTTCATTTCAGATTTTTGCATCCATCTGCCTTATTTTTTTGATCTAAAAACTCATTAAAAAAATTTCTATTTACTACACTGGATGTCTGATTGTCAAGTTGTCTAAGTCTGATTGTGTAAGTTTTATTACACAAATAAAGAAATTCTGTTATGAAGCAACTTAAATTCATGATCAATTTGTATTCTATGACTGATTAAAAAAGAACATTCAGTTTCTAATTAGCAATTTGATTCTGAGAAGATTAAAGTTTTAATCTCACATCCCTAACCATAAAGTGAAGAACAAATGTTTTCATGGAACAGCATAATTTTTTACACCAGCAATACGATGTGTAATAATCAATACAGAATGTCAGTAAGATTATCTCAATTTTGATAAAAATGTATTAAGACTACAGCCAAGACTTTCTTATTGTATATGTACTTCCTACATACTGACCTTCTTTGCCCTGGAAAAGTGGAAATAAAACATGTTTCACAAATGCAAGGACACCATTATCCTTCACATTTCCTGGTTCACAAAAGGCTTTCTTGAGTTTCTTTTTCACTGTTGATGCTGAGTCCAAAAGATCTATTTTACTATCTTCTTCAGAAGAGGACATCTTACCACCTGCTAATCCAGGTACTAAAAATGATAACAAAAATAGAACTTGCTTGTCATTATAGAGGGATGATATCAATCAAAACCCTTTTCAAAATTGCAGATTTAAACAGTGATTTATTAAAAGAAGTGAAGACAGCTTTTGTCAACTTATTACCAAATTGAATCTTTTGCACTATAACAATATATTTTTAAATTTTTTCATTGAAAAACTAAAAATTTTGGATTATTATTGCGATCATTATTGAAGACAAGGCAAGCCAACACAAACAAATTTGCTAATGAAAATCAGGTTCTTTAAATGTCATAAATTGTATTATAAAAAATTTACATTTTTTAAAATTTAACATGTGTAAAAGAAAGTGTTTTATATTTTTCCACTTGTTTTGCTTTTTAAATGTATTTATTACAAAATTAATTTACCATAATATTTTGTAATAATAAATAATTTGTATAATAAAACATTTTGTACTTGCCTTAAAATAAACAAACAATAATATTTCAAACAATTCATTTTAATAATAATGAAGTCATATTTATTAAATAAACAGGATGCAACAAAACTGACAGAATAAAAAAAAACTAAAAATTTGATTTTTGTCTTTTTTCAACAACCCCAATGCCATGATATTGAGCATGTGTCAATGCCAACTAAGAGGGGTCTATGCAGACCCTTCCAATGTGCAACTTTCTTCACAATTAGACTTGTGTTTAAGAAATAACAAAAGGGACATCATATTTTGACCCATTATTATAAAATCATCACATGAAATTCATTACATTTGTGACCACATTCAATGCACTGCATCTTTTTCAACAGGCTCAATATTCCTAGATTAAATTTTTAACCACTTCTTTTCAATATTTTCATTATTCACAAGCCCTAATGCACCACTCCACTATATTCAGCATCGGAAATATGTGTGTTTCATGTCAAACTCGAAAGCAAGATTCGATCTAAACAATCAAAGGTAACAACAGAAGCAAAATAAATCCACAAAGTGCTCTAACAACAATGCAGTCTGAATTTTCAACACGTTTCTTTAAAATCACAGTTTTATTAATTTTATTTGTATTGTATATTAAAATCAGAATTTAGGTGGTGATGTGGGCTGCACCTAACAATAAGACTGAGAACAAGTTTGGATAATGGAAGAATGTGTTAGCGAGAATATTTCTGATATCAAGGCTTGAACAAGATGTCACAGATGATTCATGAGCCCCAAGTCTACTGCGCCAATTTAATTGGATTCTAGAATGAACAAGTACTATACATCAGTCTGAATATTTGCTTCAAAATATAACTGATTCAATCAATAACATTTTATAATGTTTATTTCACAGGCAATCACCCAATTAATACATACAAGTACAGAAGTTACAATGATACAACCATGAATCACTTAAAAGTCAGTTAGCAGATAATTTACAAGCAGCTTTACAATATTTTGAGAGATAAATGGGATTTCATTGTCTACTATAACTTTATTAGCATGCTTACCCATCCTTCACATAGGGGTGTTATACCAATTGTTTGTGCAAGCAGTTGGTACTGAGAAGGTATAATGGTTTCCTTTCAATTGGCGCATAGGTGCTTTTCAAGATACCTTTGAATGTAACTCGGCACAATTCATTGCATTGTTGCATAGTTTGAAGAGGAATGTAAGATCAAGAACTTGTCTGTATGACTCAAGAGAGTCATATTAACTGTTTGTTAATTTCAATATAATCATGGTTTAAGAACGGAGATGGCAGAGTTTCCAAGCTAGGAAATTTAGGTACTTATGTTGAACTATTTCTAATTTATTTTTATATGACATATATGATTGAGACCATGTTTGAGATGCATTCAACAAAAAAAGGCCTCATTAAAGCAGAATAAAAAAAAATTCAGTGACTAAGTTTTTAAATTCCACTGTCATCCTCCTCATAAAGCTGATAATTTTGTTGGCTTTATTGACAATTTGGTCAACATATATATTAAATTTCATTTTGGGGTCAAAAGTTACTCCAAGGTCTTTAATCTGGTCGACTGATTATATTAGATGCCCATCTATGCTGTAAAAATATATTATGGGAGACTTCAAGTATGAGAACCTCAACTTTACATTTACAAACATCAAAATACAAGCAGAGACAAGGATGTACTAACAAAACTAAAAATTCACAATATGACAGCTAAACCTATACCAACTGAGACATGGAAAATGAAACAAACAAAAAATAGAAGCAGCACTTATGAGATTTTTGAGTCACCTTGTAGGAGTTACAAGAATGGACAGACAGAATCAAAGACATTAGAAAGAAACTAAAAACTAAAGATTTAGTAGAAGAAATATCAAACTCTCAAAGAAAATGGCAAGATCACCATAAAAGAATGAACAAGAAGGGATGACCAAAGCATTTTGAATGTCAACATTAACAAGCTGATTTGTGAATTACCCACATTCAGACATACCTTGTAATGTTTAAAAACTACATCTATAAAGCATTTACCTGATCAATGTGCTAAATCATATGTTAAAAAATACTTTACTGGCAAAAATCATATTTAAATTAAAAATATCTTACTGAAATAAAAGATTGTGGACACACATTCTTTTTTTCTATTTTTTATGGCAAACAATTTTTGCCTCCCCCACTCATATTCTGAACAATCTTAATTTGTCAAAAAGATTTGCTTATTTTCATGCAAAAGAATATTAGTAATAAATCAAACTGGCACAGCAATTTTTTCCATGTTTCTTACCCATTGGATTCATTAGATGAATTCGTTTAGCATACCCTAATTGAGGAAGGTATTTTTCAGCAAAAGTAAATATTTTTCGTTGATCAACACCACCAAATTGTGCATCGACATGCAAGTATTCTTCATCCAAAGCTTGCAATCCTGCAAATATTCAGTTTTAAATTTGATGCCTTAATACTTGGCAACTTACTAAAGAACTACATGATAATTTATTTTTTTTCTTCAATAAATAAATAAATATAAATAAGACTTGTGGTACAAATTCATTTAATCAATATAACAAAACTTACCAGGGTATAACAAGCCAGATAAGAGAGGATGATCAACCTGTTTCACAACTTCCGCACCTGCCTTCTTAGCATCATGCTCTGTTACAAGAGAACTTAACTTGTACACATCCAGCGTGTATTCTCTAAAAAGTGCACAAATTATTAAGTTGAAGATCAATCATGCTTTCAATTATATTTTTAAAAATGTAAGTTTAGGCAGATGTCAACATAATTTGAGAGAAATTAATATTCAAGATTATATACTAAGAAAAATTCTGGGCATCTTATTAATATCTATAATCGTACTTTGAAAGTTGATAATCAGATCCTTTCACAAATTTTAATTTCTCAAGAGGGACCCCAATGGACCTTAACATTTCCTTAATAATATGTTCATAATATTTGGCTCGTAATGCCAGCAATTCCCATGGTGCTTTCATATTGTCTAAATAAGCATGTAAATCAGCAAATAAAATGGTAACCTAAAATATAAAACAAAAAGGAAATGACAGTAGAGGTATTTAACAATAAATGCACAAAAAAATATCTTAAATTTGTACTTACTTCACAACCAGCTTTTAAAAAATCTGCAATCTTAGACATAGGTACAAAATATGCTACATGTGGTCGACCGGTTGTAGCAGTTCCCCAATAGATTCGAACATCACGTTCTTTTAGAACACCCTTCAATTTATCTTCTCCAAGAGTTTCTTGAAGATTGCGTTGTATCAATTCTAACTTTTCAGATGCACTAATATTGCTACTACCCATTGTTAACACCTGTAAAATAAATAAAAGATACAATGTTTTTTACTACTTCCACACAATTTACACTTTCCTAACATCCACTACTATTCTATGTACACTGTTCTACTATTCTAATACCTTTGACAGCCTATCAATTAGATTCATTTTTATAAGATGACTAGCAGGTAGAGGAAAATTATTTATTTCTTCATCAGTAAAACTTGATATATGTAAAAACCATCTCTGTAAATGGGGCCAATTCTGCCTCCGAGATCTAAAACTTGGATGTTTAGAAAGTAAGAAGAAGATGGTGGCATCAATTTTTGTGGGAATATATCCTTCTAAATAACTAAAATTCGAAAGATGAGCATTGAGCTCTCCAAGCAACACATTGTCTGTCATTCCAAACGAAGACACCAACTACAACCACACCTGGGACAACCACAGGACAAGCTAAGTTTTTCTACACGTTAAAGAATTTACTCACTACTCAAATATACAGGAGAGAAAGCAATGTTTTATGAGCTTTAACAAGCAATCTACATTTCTGGTTAGGTTATTCATGGGAATTTAACAGTTAATGACAAGATAATGACAGAAGTGATGAATTGAACATATGTTGAATGAAAAGATAGAATCCGAAACTTCGAATGTTATGTAAAGAGATTACCTTATTTTCGAACTTTATAATGAAACTGTATCAATCTTCTTTTCAAAATATTCTGCTCGTAGATCACGTCTAAAACTAAACCACGACACCATACGGCACACGTGTAGGGCACTTACATTCCCATAGAAGTATAGTGACTTCTGACGTTTGCCCTAGTGGACACGATTATCCAATGGGGAGCTTTGTTATGACTCAATTTGATACTGAAGATCCCAAGTGGATAACTGTGTCCAGCTGATCAATTGGGAGTATTGTTTGTGTTTGTAGTTTATTTTTGATATTTAAGTTCCCTACAGGATAATCATGTCCCATTAAATTGAAAATCAGGAGTCACTATAATTAAACAGGAGAGTAAAAGGAAAGCCACACACACTCACACACACACACACTCACACACAAAAACTAAACGTATGGCTTTTTGTTTCACTTGTACTACTACGTTTTAACGTACGGGCGGGTTCATGAAAGTCAACTTCTCGACAAGGGGGTCCTTCATATAATACGTAACCCGGAAGGGTGGGAGGGGGTTTGAGGCAGCGTTACCCTGAGTTACATAGAGGCGGGGGGAATTCGATTAGTGTTACGTAACAGTGAAATTTTCTGTAACATTTTTTTTACATTCGTTGAAATACTTCTCTTTTTTAGTATTATACCAAAACATTAAAATATTACCTAATTAATTTGTTTTAAAACATAAGTTAAAGTTATTCGAAGTTGTTACAATAAAGGGAAATATTTGTTCATCAATTTTGAATTAAATCTGTAAGATTACGAAGAAAATATTCAAAACTGATCTGTAATATTTTGTAGAATGCAATTAAATTGGGATTGTAGACTCCTGCGCATGCGCCATATCAACGGCGGCGTGTGCACGGCTTACGTTCAGAATTTTCTCACCTGTGCGTCCTTCCTTTACTCAAAATTTGCCTACACTCTTATTGTTAGGTGCAGTCAGCATTGACAAATAATTCCAAATTCGATTATCGTAAATTTTAATACACACCCCATAAAATGAATACAATTTTTACTGAACTTTAATTTATTTTCACCTCTTGCATTTACAAGGGGAAGGGGGTGGCAAGCGTTACGTAATTATTTAGAGGATTCAATTGAGCGTTACGGGTACGTTACGGTGGAGAGGGGATATTCAAGCCATTCCAAATTTGCGTTACGTAATTTATGGACAGCCCCTTACAGAATTCTCATCAAAGACAAGTTTTAAAACAAGAGATTTAGAAAATACCAACAAAGAATTTCTACAGCCTTCAACTTTCTCTCTGACCTACTGATTTCATTCTAAATTTGTTGGTAACGTGTTTCATTTATGTGAAATGACAGTACAAATATCAAGAATATTGTTTACAATAATAGTTACTATGTTCATTTATAGAAAACTTTTTATGACGCGAGGAAGACGTCTTCTTTCCTACCCAACACTTGATCACTGACACATTCTAACATTCTTTATTTAATATTTACTTATATCAGGCACGGATCCTTGGGGAGGACCATGAGGGAAATCCCTCCCCCCTAACATTTTCAGAATCTATTAATTTTAACTCGTCACTAAACTTTCAAGCAAAAATATTTTAGGATTATCATTAAAACCAATAAAATCGTATAGCAGCATGAGCTACGACATTTTTACAAAATCTGTAATAAAACTTTGTCATTGCTTCAAATTTGGCGCCTTGTTTCTAATAGGTCCCTTTTGATGCTCTTTGAATGCGTTTCTGAGGGAAGGATCGTACATTTCAATCTTGGCGCTCTGAAGATTATAAATTCTCGGCACAGTGAGGTCACTGTCCTGAGGAAGCTTGCGACATGTCAGGCGAAACGTCGGCACCCCAGCCAACGACGCGGCGTCTCCCGGATAGCCGAGAATTTATGGATTCGAGCCTCGGAAGCTTACGTATATATGCTCTGAAGATTTCTAATTCTACTCAAAAAAGCCGCGCGAATTTCTTCCCGGTTGACCAAATACTCACTTCTTTCGAACAAACTTCCTTGACGTAGATTGTCAACTGCCTCCTGTTAGTTCGGAGCGTTACTGAAAGATCGCATCAGCTCCTGGGCAGCTCCTCGTGCGAACCATGTGTGACATCAGAATTCTGAGAATCTGAGAAGTAAAAACGACGAAAATCGTAAAGAAATGTTTGATTTCGTCTGGATAGGGGTAACTGTGACAATCTCTTCAATACTCGATAATTCTTTCTCCAAGTAACAATCTTCCTCAATTGTGTGTCGTCTCTTTTCCAGAACACGTTTGTTTGATAAAAAACTACTGATATAAGAGGCGATGCTTCGTTGCAGCTTTACTAATTGCTCTCCCAACTTATCCTACGAGTATTTCGCAGCTTCAACAATCGACCATAACATTTTGAATTTTCCCTCCCAAAATTCGTCTCTGTACCCGCCCTTGCTCATATTATTAATACTAATACAATTTATTAATGTTATTCTGCATTGTATGTTGCATTAGAGAGTAAAAATTATGAATTATAATTATTTGCAACTTTATGCTTTCATTGTTCTAGTATCCAATGGTGTGTTTTTTGTCCAAAAACACGAGAAGACATCAGAGTGTAATGACGGAATACAGTGCAGAGAACAGAAGATAGAAAGCTATGATAAATGAAAAGCTATGAAAAAGGAAACTGCGCACGTAGAAAAAGAAACAATGAAAATTATTGACATACTGAAGTACTTACAAAGCCCTACGTACAAGACAACCACCCAGTAAATATCTACATGGGAATATGAGACAAGCACATATAAACAATAGTGATTCTCAAAGTCACCAGACTAACAAAAACAAATGGAAAATGGATTCCGTGCGAATTATTCTCTTGTCAAGAAATGGAAAGGGCGATAACATCGAAAAACCGAAAAGCGGCAGGAAAAGGAGATCCCAAGAGGCTGGAGTCATACCTCGGGATAGCACTAGAGCCGACAATATACTCGTGCAAGATCTTAACAAAAGTGCTAGTCCAAAGACTGCAAAAATGCACGGAGAAAATATTTCCGGATAAGCAATTTGCTTACTGGGAAGCCAGGTCCATGCATTTTGCCATAGTCAATTTAATGAGGAAAATTCATCGACATCTAAAAGCACAACAGATACATGTTTTTGTCGACCTAAGCAAGGGATATATATAAGGGATATATATATATATATATATATATATATATATATATATATATATATATTCTAACGTTAGCTACCGCTGTTGCCGGCGTCAGATTGAACGCCCTAATCAAGCTTTGAAATCTCAAGGAGGTACGATCTTTTGGGGTATGAGAAAGATTTACATCCAGACACAGAATCAGGAAAAAACAGTGCGTGTAATCTTCCGAATATTACTCATATATCAACACTGAACAAAGAATAAACAAAAAAAAAACAAATATAGAACAACTCACAAATATTCGACACGAAATCAAATATTATTCACACCCTTTGAAAAATTGAAATTGTTTACTCACTCTGGTTCGAGTATTTCTACCTAATTCTCTACTTTTTACAGCAAAATACCCGTGTACGGTAACTATTCTTTGGCCAGTACCGTTTAAACAACAAAATATTAACTTACTTGGCGGATAAGTGCAACAAACTATATCCCTATTTCTACAAAGAATCTTAGATTTTTTAAACTGAACACATTATTAAATGGCCTATTAAATACAATTATTTACAGTTAGTTATCGTCGTCAAGGTTACACAAAAGAGGAATAAATATTAACACAGCTTTTCTCGTAGCATTTAACACTAGAATGAACTGTATTACCGGCTACAAGGTTCTTTCAAGTGCTTTACCGTTATCTAGATCGTACGTGAATATACAAATTTACAATCACATCCTTTCTGCTGCGGCACTATCGTTCAAGTCTCCATCGGCTCTCAATCCCTTTACAAAATGTTTGTTACCTTTGTCGGGCGCACAATGCGCAGCTTGCAAAGCGTTCGACGCGCTGCTGTGTGACCTTGCCTCAATTCCGGCCGCGGCGTTGCCTCGCTCCCTCGCAGACCAGCCGTCCGCGATGTCACTCGAAACGCCATCTTCTCTCTCCTGCGACCAGATCCTTGTCCAATCTTCTTTCGTCTTGCCTCTTGAATACCCCTGGCACCAGAATCCTTGCCTCTTCTTCTTTCTTCGCCGCTCTTCCTATGCGGCACGCCACGCTTAATTCAACTTACGCGTATTTGCTAACGGCGTATCGGTTTTCTGGCGTTCTTCTCAACACTTCTTACTAGTTTAGCTAACTGCACATTTCTACTGACGCCTCGCAACAGCTTATAGTTCTTACTTTCGCGGCCATTATTCCGCCTCGTACTAGATACTCCACTACTTTCTACAGTCTTTATGAAATTATACTTCACCTAGTTAATCACAGTTCAAAGGCAGAATCTTCCGCTACCCCAATATTCTTTTCATGATCAATTACTTCGCACCGTACCTCTCTAGGCACGTCCGAACTCTTCGACGTCTCTCATCAAAAGGCTGCTCTAATTACTACCGCAGTGGACCTCT